GTTATGGAGAAAGAAAACATTTGTTTTTTTCCTCATTTAGTAAGTGCTTGTGAAATAATATGCTGTAAAAATGTAAAACATATTCGACTAATGTAGTCAAATTGAACAATCCAAAAAGAAACAAAAAGTTATATTAATACAGCTTTTGTTGGTGTAGAAATTGTTACTATTTTTTCATGAGCTATTAATTTTTTACTAAATGAGTTCTACTTAGCAATAAAAGTTTATGACACATCTGGGGAATCTTATTTAAAGGTAGAATGTTAAAATTGTTCTCAGAAAATTGGCAAAGTCACACAAATGAACAATTCAGGAGAGAGAAAAGAAAGTTATTACAGGAGGACAAAGGAAATTTTCCCTAGTTAGACTGTTCCATATAAAGAACATAAATCACTATATGTGGCTACAATGTCAGAAACACATTCAGTAATTAAAACATAATAATGCTGCTCTATTCAATATGACTTTCCACTCTAGTAAATGAGTGAGTTTTGCCTAATGAAAGGAGTCTGTTATCTCCTAGCAACCTCCTCTTTTGTAGCTAGATGGGAATGAAGGTTGAGGCTTGAGGAGAAAGAGAGGGAGGGTGCCTCTGCTTTTTACTCTACTCTCCACTTTGTTTTTGTTTGGAGTAATTGGAATGATTGAAATTCCAGATCGTGAATAACTCAGAAAAATTGTAAGGTTGACACATAAGAAAAATACGAATCAAAATAGCACTGATCTTCTAATTTTTCTGTCATATTGGTATTTGTTGTGATTTCTTTAATCATACTGTGTCAGGTTTTTATCTTCTTAATATTAGGCTTGCTCATCATTTGGTAAAAATGCATTGAAAGTTGCACATAGGCATAAAAATTCCGGTATATGTTGAAAAATTATGTGTTGAAATATTTGCAGTATAAGAGGACCTCTAGTAGATCAGATCAGACTAATAGAGAATCAACAGCGACTAATCAAATGCCTCCAAGAAAAATGGGGCAGGATAATGAGTATTTAATTCAGAGATACTTGGTAAACCATTGAAACTGTGAGGTGAACCTGAACCTGAGTCTTCCTATTCTTTATCCACCCCCTTCACTTCCTTGCTCTTGAGCTAAAAAAAAAAAGGAACGGGCGCAAATTCCCCAAGGGGAACTTCCATGATTGAGGGGAACTGGATTTTGGCAGAGAGCTAAAAGAGAATAACTGGTCCAAAATCAGTCAGTGAGCTTCTGTAGAGAGAGGGGGATTTGAACCCGGGTTCCTCACTTCTTATCTATCCTACATCATCTAGTTCTGATGTCATCACCTTGTTTCAAAAGCAGTAGCATTTAGGCTTATATATCACCCCATAATCTTTTATGGCAGGGGTAGGATTCTACTGATTCACAGCAGTTTGGTAAAACTGGTTGTTATGGTTCCCAGTAGTCTGGAGAACTGGTAAATCAGGCCTCTGACTAGCCCTGCCCCTCTCCGCTCGCTTCTCTGCTCCCTGCCCAGTCAGTCCCTATTGCGCATGCACAACATGCCTGCAGCCTTCTTTTGCCCACCCACCAGGCTAGCCATTGCTGTCTGCCTTTTGCAAGTTTTTCATTCTGCCGGGAGAGGCTCTCCCAGCAAGAGCAGGTGCATGAAGCAGCCCAGAGCTGACACGAGCCTCTCCACTGTTCTTTCCAGCTGAGCAGCCCTGATTTGCCTGCTCACAGATAAGCTTGTGAGTTGCGCTAACCCCTCTCCCACTGTCCCTGGGCCCTGCCCAGCCCTCTGTGGGCCTCCCTGTAGCTCCCCAGGCCTCGCTTAGCCGTCCGTGGGATCCCTGGGCCTTGCCCAGCCCTTGCCAGGCTTCCCTCACCTTGCATCCATGCTGGGCCTCCTCCCGCCTGGCCACCTACTTCTTGACATGAGTAGAAGCTGCTGGTTGGAGCACAGTGAACCGCAGTGCTGGGCTCCCTATTCTAGATATGCCACCCAAGGGCATAGCTAGAATTGGAAGAGGCTGCGTGTTTCTGGCGGAAAGAACCAGAGCTTCTTGATGCAAGAGCAGCCTCTGCCTCACTCGCACCTGCTCATCCAAGCTGCCGAGTGTTGCCCCTGTTCTTTCCACCACAGCTGCACAGCGTTTTATTCCAATTCTAGCTCCAACCAGCAATCTCTGTTTGTGTCAAGAAGCTGGTGGTCAGGTGAGAGGAGGCGAAGGTGGGGCGCCATTTCTGGGCTAGTCCGGCCGGCGGATGGGCGAGCAAATAGCCCTCAGGGTGATGCGGCGATGGCAGTGGTCGGAGCATGCCACAGCCGTTCGCTTTCTCTACTGCGCTGGGGTTAACCTGAGACTGAAAGAGGTGACGGAGGTGCCCCAAAAGGGAGGGCGGGAACTCCTGGACAGCTTCCCACCACCGCCCCCTCCTGCTCCCACCGAAAGGGAGGGCGGATTGATGTTCCCAGGGCTGCGGCTGCTCCTTTTTTGTTCTTCCACTGCCCGCTGCTCTCTTGCAACACGAAGGCAGCTGCCACAGCCTGTCCCTTTAAGATATGTCATTGTGGGGGTGGGGGTAAGGGGGGACCATAAAGGGACAGCCAGGCCACAGCAGCTGCCTTCCGAGCAGCTTTGCTATGAAGGGAAGGGAGGAAGAAAAGTTCGGCAACTCTTCTCCTCCTCCTTGGGTAGAGCATGCGCACACAGCGCCGGGAGGATCATCTGCAAGGAGTCGGCATGTGGGCAAGTCCCTCCAGCACTGTGAGATGTGTGAGTGAGAGACAGAGAGAGGGGGCGGGGATGAGAAACAGATGAGAAAGAGGGAGAGGGAGAAAGAAAAAGATGAGAGAGAAAGATGGGGGGGAAAGAAAGAGACACAGAGAGAGATCTAAAAGAAAATAGAAAAATGGCTCCGAGTGTTTCAGGTTGCAGACCCCAGGTTAGACAAACAGCATGGTCGTTAAATGAACCTTGTGGTCATTAAGTGAGCACCGGTTGTTAAACAAGTCCCTTTTCCCCCATGGGCATTTTTAACCGGAAACCAGAAAGAATTGTTGGAAACTGGCAAAAAACATAGAAAACCTGAGTCACATGACTATGTGGGATATTGTAACTGGTCATAAAATGGAGGAAAGGTGGGGAGAGAGAGAGAGAGAGAGTGCGCATGCATGGCTGTCAAAACTCCAAAAACAGGTCAAGTAGTTCTGGGAAGATCAGTCATAAATTAGGACACTTGCTAAGCAACTGCCCATTAAGTGAGGACCATTTATATTTGGTTTGACCATTTATATTTGGTTTGACATGGCCACCTAGTTACGTCCAACCTATTCACATGACCACCTAGCCATACCCACCCCAGTCACATGACCACCAAGCCAGACGCACAAATTAGGCCACACCTACAGAACAGGTTAAGAAATTTGGATCCTACCCGTTTCCTCCTATTTTCTCCCCAACAACAACCCAGTAAGATAGATTGGGCTGAGAGACAGTTACTGGCCCTAAGCTTTCATGGCTAAGGTGAACTCACAATGTCACAATTTCTAGCATGATACTTTAACCACTAGACCAGGGGTGTCAAACTCGCAGCCCGCAGGGCAACGTGTCCCGGGCTAGCCCTGTCCCCTCCCAGGTTAGTGAAGGGGAAGTCCCGGTACGTTACGTGATGTCTCAATGACGACGCAAGTTTGACACCCCTGCACTAGACCAAACTCTGCACATGCTTTAGATGATACATGTTGTGAACTATAGGTGGTTTCTATTTTTAAAAAGCCCATATGAAACACTTCTGTGACTCAAAAATGGCAGGGTTTTTAATGTAACAATTTAAATACCATTTTATTCATGTACTTTTGAATAGTCATATTGATATAAAACAATATCCCTAAGCTTTCTGAATCATAACTTCTTATTTGTAGTATACGAATGTTTTTGCAAAGAAACCAAAGAAAGAAATAAGATCTTATTCTTAGCAGCTGTTGCCAAAGCCTCCTAAGCATGTTTATTACATCTGGTAGTTGACTAGTTTTCTATATGAATTCTGTAAATATTGGTAGCCTTAATGCTTATATATTTTTAGTTCTGATTACACACACACTACCTGGTTTATAAAGTGGGTTTTTTGATAAAGTTATGAAATGCTTTTACAAGCATAATTGCCAACATAGTTACCCTATAGCAGTTATAAAAATTAGGTACAGTTAAATGTTCAGTCTCTATCCATTCTTCTTTACTTGGCACTATGAATTCTTTTCTCACTTTCTCGGGTTTCTTTAGGCTATTGTCATTTCTGGGTTTAACTTATTTATAAAATCACTGGTGATAAGACTAGTTGCATATATAAAAATATCAAAGTATAGGGCTTGTCGCATAACTTAAAAAAGCATAATGGAAAATGTTAACTTATTCTCTCAAGAGAGAATTTCCTGGCACAGGTCAGAGCATAACAAAAATTCTATTCTGTGCTTTTATGTTTTCTTTTGCATGATTATATGACTACACAAACAAAATCTAGTTTGTAGTTAGATCTAAGGCAGTAAGAATAAATGTAGTTAATGAAATGAGTGGTAGGTCTAATGAATAAAAATAGGGTATTGCAATGGCTTAATTGATGAATCAGCATTTGTTGGTGATGGGAGAAAAACATACATTTTAATCTCAAAATAGAAAACATTTGAAGATATAGGAATAATATTAAAAGGGGGAAAATAATTTTCTATTTATTTAATATACAGGTTGAATTCAATCCATTTACTAAAATAATTGCAATTTAAAAAATACGGCATTTACTTGTTTATTGTTGTGCCTGTTGAGTGGCCAATTTATGATATGAACAAGTGTGCATTTCAGTTATAATAAATGAACCTTGAATTTGAAAATAGGCAATCCAAATTGCAGTAGCCAGCTATAAGTTTTAGAAAGTTATGTGACAAAATTTCTATGTCTTCAGTCATTTCAAAGAAAGAATTAATTTAGGGGAGAAAGCAAAGTATTAAAATTCTGTGAACTCAAGCAATGCTGAGTGGCCCTATGTTTTGTGTTTCAGCGATGTGCATACTGCAAGCACCTTGGAGCCACTATCAAATGCTGTGAAGAGAAATGCACCCACATATATCATTACCCATGTGCTGCTGGAGCAGGCACATTTCAGGATTTTAATAACTTTACCCTTCTTTGCCCAGATCACATTGACCAGGCTCCGCTAAGATGTAAGTAGCCATATTAAATAATGCTGAAAATATGTAATAGAGCAGAGGTCTTCAAACTTGGCAGCTTTAAGACTTGCGGACTTCAACTCCCAGAAGTTGAAGTCCACAAGTCTTAAAGTTGCCAAGTTTGGGGATCCCTGTAATAGAGCCTCCTAATCAGATGTTTATTTAGTTATTTCAAATCTTTGTGGATTTGCTTGGATATTATTTGCACAGATTGATTTTGCTGTTGTTTTCATATTGATTTTTTAAAAAATGTTTTAATTTGTTGCGTGATGGGCATGTAATACATTGAAGGAATAAATTAAAAAATAAAAACAATTGGAGTAGATAGATCTGCTGAAATTTACTCTTCTTGTGGGTTTTTGTAAGTGCTATGATGGGATGAAGGATTATAGGCAAGGAGATGGTGCAAAATTAATTTTTCCTCTTTCCTATCTAGTAGTAGTTCAAATTAAATGTTGAGAAATGACAGAAGTCAGATTGCCTTATTATCAGCTAATTTAAGATCAACTTGTCTTGCTCTCTCATCTCACAGCATCTTTCTTGAAATACGTTTGTTCTTGCTGCAATCTTCTTTTTAACTAATGGTAATAATTTCACTAGCACCTGTTTTAATTTTAAAAACTATGATCTGTATATAATAATAGACTCATATAGACATTAAATGTTTTATTTTCTGGATACAGATAGCTTGCATAATCCTTATTTAACACCTGAATAAAATTTATAACATTTAAAAAATATATCTAGCTGTTCCATCTTTTGGAAGGTTATTTTCCCTATAAAATAATACAGAATTCATCTGTTAATTTGTAGCCAAGGAAGAAGCTAACTGTGCAGTGTGTGACAGCCCTGGTGACTTGTTAGACCAACTTTTTTGTACAACCTGTGGCCAGCATTACCATGGAATGTGCCTGGATATACAAGTGACACCTATCAAAAGGGCAGGTTGGCAGTGCCCTGATTGTAAAGTGTGCCAGAACTGCAAGTAAGCAAAACTGGAGAATAAAGTGCTAAAACACTGGTACCTCATTTTAAATTATTGTGTATAGGTAGTCCTTCTTAGTGACCACAATTGGGCTAGAAACTCCTCAACTAAATCCTGCAGTCATTAAATGGAAAATCATAGGATCATGATAGCCTCATGTCTTCACTTCTGCTTTGTCATTAAATGAATCACTATATCGTTAACTGGAATATCACATGATCATGACTTACCATTTTACTTCTGTGTTCTCCATTAACTCTGATTATTGCTAATCAGTAAAAAAAGTACACAAATGATTATGGGACATTGTAATGGTCTTATATTTTTACACCATTGTAACTTCAAGCAACTATTAAATAAGGCAACTGGTAAGTGAGGCTTACCTGTAGTATTATGAAAAGATGAAGTAAAACCTATGATTTTTTTTTCTGTTGAGTGCATTAGAAGATAAGATGTTATGGACATTATCAACAAATGACACTTGCATTACTATATTTACTTTACTACATAACCTAAATAGATTTGCTCCTAGAAATTTTGATTCCACAATTGGCAAATTGCTTGCCGATTTTTTGTTTCTCTTCTATAACAAGCTTCCTCAGGTGTGGTCTGTGACCTATGAAGAATAGTGAAAATAATCTTTGGGACATGTTTTTCAGTAGAGTTAGAAATCCCTAGTGTAGTCTTAGATAAAATGCTCAATTTAATATAAAACAAAATGCATCCCCAACTTTTACACTGTGTTTGCTACTTATTGTGTCCATGTCAGTTTCAGAATCAAGGTAAGTGCTATGTAATACTCCACAATTTCTTTAACCACTGTTGAATTTGATATTACTTTTTAAATCATGTTTAGTGTTATTACATTCTGGGGAGATCTGATAACATAAAATTGCTGTATTTATTCCTTAATTTTTGAGGCCACAAATCCTGAATATAATATACTTTAGGAATGTGCATTGTTTCTTACACATAAAGAGGAAATGGTATACCGATATCCATTAGAAAAGAGTTGATACTGTGGCATTGGTCATAGACATTGAGTTTTAACATTTCATTAGCCTACTTGCTGTTTATATTCACCTGCCTTGCTTCAAAGTTAAAAGTGTTTTATCTTTTGATCCAATTTACTATTGACCTCACCCCTTTTCTAAGAGGTCTGTAGGGGGCGTGCATAAGCACACCAATGTGCCTACCGTCCCTGTCCTATTGTTTCTTTTTTTTTATTTTTCTTATATGTATCCATGTACTCATAACTATGTTTTTACTTATACCTCTTATCTTGTAAGCAATTGACAAAAATAAGTAAATAAATAAAATCTTTCCCTTAGGCAGTCTGGAGAAGACAACAAAATGCTTGTTTGTGATACATGTGACAAAGGGTATCATACTTTTTGTTTACAACCAGTTATGGATTCTGTACCAACAAATGGGTGGAAATGCAAAGTAAGTTTAAATTCCGTTTCCTAAATGTAGAGCTTGTGTGAAATTGAAGTGCAAGTTAGGTTTAAGAGTAGTATTCAGAAGGCTGTAGGAGTGATTTTCTTCTACGGGCCTTTTTTCTACCATATGAAGAACTGCTGCTGCTCAAATGGCAGAATGAAATTTTATTTACATTTTTAATTGTTTGTTATTACTACTGTTACAATGTATTGCAAACTGCCCAGCCATCTTTTGAGCAAGTGGCACATACATTGTTGTATTAATATTGTATTAATAAACTTTAACAAAAGGTATAAATTCTTGAAACAGGGGGCATTTTAAAAATGTTCTATATAGGCAGCATTATTAGTTGATTGAAGTTTCTAAGTTAACTGCTGTTTTGATACCATAAAATAGTGTGACTAAAAAAAGCTGATTTTTTGGACTTCTAGAACTGCAGGGTATGTGCAGAATGTGGCACACGGAGCAGTAGCCAGTGGCATCACAACTGCCTTATGTGTGACAGTTGTTACCGTCAACAAGACAACCTTCCTTGCCCTTTTTGTGAAAAATCTCCCTATCCCAACTTGCAAAAAGAAAGGTTGCACTGTCATATGTGTAAAAGGTGAGAAGCGTGTTTTTTATTCTACCTTAATTTAGTCCTTTGCTTGTCATTAATGGTTTCCAAGTCATTTCAAGGAGAATATGTCAATATTACTTTTCTTTGGTACTTAACTACTGATCTTAATTTCTTTTATTTTAAGAATAGTAATATGCCCAAGAACTTATGATAATTGGCCATGAAACTCAGTGATCAAACTCTCACCAGCTTCTGTAGAATCATATCCTATAAAGGTTTGATTAAGAAGTGTGATTGGCTTATTACCATTTATAATGGAACTTATTTCTGGTTAAGAAATTATGTGTAAGTGCACAGAACACAAGTAGTCCTCAACTTGGAACAGTTTGTTTAGTGACCATTCAAATTTAAAATGGCACTGAAAAAAAAACTTATGACCATTTTTCACGCTTACAACCTTTGCAGCATCCTCATGGTAACATGATTTACATTTGGAGGCTTGACAACTGACTCACATTTTTGACAGTTGCTGAGTCATGTGATCACCTTTTGCGACCTCCTGACAAGCAGAATCAATGGGAAAGTCAGATTCACTTAACAACAATGTTACTAACAATATCTGCAGTGATTCACTTAACAAATGTGACAAGAAAGATCATAAAATGGGATAAAAGCCACTTAACCAATGTCTCACTTAGCATCAGAAATCTTGGGGTCAATTGTGGTCATAAGTCAAGGACTATCTTTACTCTTTTTCTTCATTAAGTAAGTATGACATATTACACCAGTTATCCAAGTAAAACAAATATTAAAAAGCCTAATTTGAAATGATCCAAAATGTTGAAAAGACCTTTTCTTCCCACTGAAAAAGTATTTTAGTGGAAGAAATTAATACATTAATCTGAATTCTAAACCTATTATTCCCTCAGGTGGATACACATAGGATGTGATAAGCCTCCTGACAATGAACTGGATATTCATTTAAAAGAATATATCTGCAGTCTTTGCAAACATTCAGATGTAGATCAAGAACACACACAAATGTGTGAGATGATAGAGACTGAACAATTTTTGCCTGAAGTTGACACAGGTATGGGCTACCTCTTCTTTTATCTCTTTGTGCCTCTATCTGATGATTTTTCATCAGAAGTCTACAGATTTCTTCCTTCTCCAGATTATTGGTACAATAAAGCACAATTATTTTTTAAAGTTTATATTGCTGGAATGCTTTGATAAAATTTTCTAGAAAGACCTCCACATTTTAGTGGAGTATCTCGTATTTCATTTTCTTCTCACCATGTAACTCAAACAGGAACTCAAAAAGAAACCATTCCCAACTCTTTAAAATGTATAAACCTAATATAGGAACACTGTCCAGAGTAGAATGGTATTTGCTATCCAAAGTTTTCCCCATGATTTGAATGAGAAAAATAATTAAATGTACAACTTGATAATATCTTTGTTTTTTTATATCTGTGCACATGACATAGAAATGGAAAACATAGATTCAAAAGACATAAGAAACAAGAAGCCGTTAGTACTTGAAGGTGGCCTTGATCAAGAATTGGTGGATGAGTCTTTTACAGATTATAAGGATACCCTTTCTTTGACAGCACAAGATCATATATGTATGTATATAAAATACGATCAGAATTCTAGAATATTTAGAAAATGTAATAACATCTGAGCAGTGCAGTTTCTGTTTACAATAGTAAGGGTTTTGGAATAGAGAGTTCCTAAAGGTTATAGAAGAAATAGAACTGTTTTGTACAGGTACTAACCCTGCAATCTTCTGATGAAATACATAATATAACAACAATTCTTTATTACAGTTAAAGACCAGAGATAAAAGATATACCTGAAAAAAACAACAACAGAAAAATAGACTATAGTTTTTAATCAGTGGCATAGTAACTTATTTCTGGTCTCCTTTTCTTCAGATTGAATTTTTTCTGCTTATTGTTTTCACCATACAAGAAATTCATTATTTAGGGAATGATAGTTTTTTAAACTATTCATTTCTTGGTTGGTTGAATAATTTAAAAGTATCTTACATTATCATTTTATTGACTTTTTAATAATGATATACAAGTGTGAATGAATGGCATTACATAATTTTGTAAAATAATTGTTTGATATTAGAATTTAAGTGTGAATTTTTTAAAAGTAATAGGACTTTTAAGAAACTCTCATGTCTTAAATTATGCCAGTTTATGAACCATAAATCTAAAATGTTACAATTCAGTTAAAACTGTCCCAATAAACAAATAGTTTCTTACCCAGATCTATTTCTGAGCAAGGTAGAGTAATAAAGAAACTAATACTGAAATAAAATATAAGTTTTAGCCTACAAGATCTGTAAGATCAGCTGAATAACAACAGCAATAGCATTTAATGGCTAAATTATTTACTGGCCCCTAGCACTGCACAGCACTCTCAGGGCTGTTTATGTTATAAGCATTATTTGCTTATGGTCCCCAACAATCTGGGTCCTCATTTTACCAACCTCAGAAGAATGAAAGGCTGAATCAACCTTGAGCCGGTCAGGATTGAACTGCTGAACTGCTGGTTGTGGGCAGAGTTTGCCTGCAATACTTCACTTTAACCACTGCAATATCGGGGTTCCCCTTGGATGTCAGCTAATTGTTCATCATGATATATGTTTTATTTTGTAAATTATGATAACTTAAAAATCCATCAGACTTAACACAAGTGTGATAATGTGAACAAAAACCATTTGTCTATTTGTCTAATCATGAATGAAATATTTCTAAAAAAGATAATTACTGGAAATTTCTAGTTTGCTAAATTTGATAGTAAAATATAAACATTCTGGACCAATACGAATAAAAATATAATATTTATATTACGTGATCCAGTTTGCTGTAGCTGTTAAGGCACTAGCCAGAAACCAGTATATTTTTATTTTGATCCCAGCTTGTGCACAAAGCCAGCTGGTTGACTTGGACCAATCAGTCCCTCTTAGTCCTAAGAAGCAGGCAATGGCAAACCACTTCTGAAATCCTGCCAAGAAAACTGCAAGTCAGCAATAATTCAAAAACTTACCGGTATATTATATTATAGTTATATATATTCCTATACAGGCAATTCTGGACTTACTATTTATTTCATTTAGTTATTGTTTGAAGTTATAAGAGCACTGAAAAAGTGACTAATGACAGCTTTCACAGTTTCGACTGTTGTGGCATCTCCATAGTCACATGATCAAAGTTCGAATGCTTGGCACATGATTTATATTTATGATGGTTACAGAATCCCAGGGTCATATGATTCCCTTTTGCAACCTTCTGACAAGCAAAGTCACTGGGGAAACCAGATTCACTTAACAACAACGTTACCAGCTTAACCACTGCAGTGATTCAATTAATATTTGTGGCAACAAAGGTCATAAAATGGTGTGAAATTTAGCACCTGTCTTGTTTACAGCATAATTTTTGGGCTTAATTGTGATTGTAAGTCAAGAACTACCTCTGTAACTGAGGCATGGATATGATATAAATTTATACAATTATTTTATGTCAAATAGAAAATGTTCCCCCTTTTATAGTGGTAAAAGTGTGGGCTGTTTAGCTGAATGGACATGTATTTGGTACCTAAAGATAAAATATATTTCTTATGTGGTATATACATTGTGGACTTTTATTTCAAGTTGTGATAAGCAAATTTATACTTAAGTTAGATAAATATGTGAAGGAATAGCTTTACCAATAATTTACAGCAAGATACTAATTGGAGCCATGTTTTCATATAGTGTAAAAGAACTAAAATTCAGAAACAGTCAATATAGACATTTACCTGCTTGCACTTTCAAGGGAAAAAATTTTTTTTTGAAAGGATGTCGCTTTCTATAGCAGTTCCGTTGTATGAGACTGAAATACAGTATCCACATTTGTTTCAGGCCTATCATTAGATGAAAAGAAATGTGAACTGGAGACCCAGGTCTCCAATCATTTTGATACAGAAGAAGGGGAAACATCTGTTAAAAATACTCACGCATCTGATAGCAATCCCTCAGATAAAAAGAGGGAAACTTCAGAAAATATTCCAGAAATAACCCAGCAAGGATCAGATAAACAAGATGAAGAAACAAAACCATCGCAGACAAGCACTGAGTTGGAAGTGCCCCAAGAGGAATGTCAGCTTCTTCAGATGGAACCAGAGAATGTATCCAAGATATGTGAAACTTTCATGTTGGTCGCTAAAGAGCCAGCCTCCAATCCTAAAGAACAGTCTGAAACAGTGGTTGTTCTAGAAAGTACAACTGGAAGAGGCACTCCCGAAGTGTCACTTCTTCCTCAAAATGAAAGTTGTGCAACTGAGAGTTGCCAGTTGGCAGACAAACCTTCGGAATCATTGCCTGAGACATTTTCTCCATGTCCATCTTCTGCTGAAATAAGCAAAGCTGTTGATGTATCTTCCTTGCCAACATCTTCACTAGATCCAAGCGCATCCCATGAGATGTTGCGATGTCAGATGTCACCATTAGAATCTGCTGCGGTCCTTCCAACCACATTTGTATCCCTCACTCCAAAAATTGGAATGGGAAAACCTGCTATCACTAAGAGAAAGTTTTCTCCCGGGAGACCAAGGTCAAGACAGGTAAGCATGTTTGCTAAAACTCATTGCAACCTAATACAGGTAGTGCGACCATTCATTTAGTGGCTGTTTGAAGTTACAACGTTATGGAAAAAAAGACTTATGACTGTTTTTCACGCTTACGACTGTTGCAGCATCCCGATGGTCACGTGGTCTAAATTCAAACTTGGGAACTGGTCCCCAGTTGTTTATGATGGTTGCTGTATCTTGGCGTCATGTGATCACCTTTTGTGATCTGATGAACAAAGTTAGCATAGAGCAAAACTGCCTTAATAACTGTCTCATTTAACAACAGAAATTTTGGGCTCAATTGTGGCTGAAAGTAATCATAATTTTGACTATGGCTCCCCATATATATTTGTATTGTTTATTGCTTTTCATTTTGTAAGCCACCCAGATTTGCCTTGTGGCAAGATGGATAACAAACTAATTTAAGAATAAAAATAAAATAAATGATATTGTTTGAACTCTTTGAAAGAGCGATTGTGGCATTTGTGTATGTTATTGCGCCAATAATTACAGAGGAACAAATATTTATAGCAATAAATGGAAAACTCCTCTAAGCTAATAGCATTTTGAAAAAAGACCAAAATTAAAACCCTTTTAATGCGCATATGTAAACGCAGTATATGAATCACATCAATTTTTTTCCTGCTGCTTCTTTCTGTTAGTATATTAGGGATAATTGTTTACTGGTTTTTCTCAAAGCTTTCAATTTTGGTGGGGGGTTTTTTACATGAGTTTTTTTCACAACAGAAAGCATGTTTTTCTGTGTATTTTTGTTTAGGCTGCTTTAGTATATAGAGCAAGCCTTTATTTTTGCAGATGCTAGAGAGCTATGATCACAAAGTTTTGTTGTACAACTTATTTGATTTGCTTCTTTAAACCCATCACTTTGCTTGCAAAGAAAAATTGTTGTACTAGTGATTTGATGAATTTATCTGTAGTTTTATATTCTAATAAACTTTATTTCATTGTTTTTATAACTTGCTCTTAGCATTAAACTAAATAATAATAAATATACATAATGCTTTAACTACAGTTATTTGTTTTTTCCCTACTTCTAATTGATAAAGAAGTTACTACTACATTATTCCTTAACTTTAAGATGAGTTTATTGCAGTGGTTATGAATTGCAGATTAATATCTTGTTATTCCATGCCAGACCAGATACTGTTCTAATATAGACACATGTCTGAATTATCTATCAATCAAGATTATTGTACCAAACAAAGCTTAGAATATTTACAACATAAAATCTTGTTTCTTCCATTTTGGTGGTATTTCATCAGAAGATGGAAGCTTATTCTAAATAATACCTTAAAAAGATATAATAATATAATCTACTTATTAAATGATACCATATGCTTTTGAATGCATGATTCTAAATTATCTGAAAATCTTAAGGCGTGAGTGGAATCAGTCTCCTGATCAGGCCCGAATAATAGCAATGGCTAGGTATAAAGTACTGACTCAAAGAATCCATTACTTTTTCTGCATGAGATGAAAACAAACCTTAACTGCAAAAGAAAGGGAGCTTTGCCCTTGTAGAAATCGGATTTTGCAGTAATAGCTCACATCCTGGCTGCAGAAGCCTGATCTCTCACTAGAACCCGACACCAAACAAATAGGAACGGAAAAGGTAGAAGGGGTAGCTCCTCCCTTAGACATAAAAGAAGATGCTACTTTGTAGAGACAGGTATCCACTCTGTGCTTGTTGTTAAGCCAAAGAAGAAAATAGATGCTCAGAAAAGGAACTATGCTTGGGTACTTAGGCCATTATTATTTTAGAAATGTTGAAACAGTAGCAAGAGGAAAGGTTTTGATTAATTAAAAAAAGAAGAGTAGTTTTGGAGGGAAAGAGAGAAGAAAGATAGTCTAGGATGGCAAAAGAGCCACATAGGTCCCAGACTACACAAGCATTCACATACTGGCAAACTGTTACTACTCAACCCTCTTCCCCACAGCTACAGTTGTTATTCTTCCTTGGGAGTGCTGCTTCCTTTCTGGCTGCTTTTTGCTACGTACTTCCACACGCTTGAATTAAGTCTCATAAATTTTTGTAAGAAACAATTATTTTAAAAAAGATTTCTACCAGTGTTGGAGTTAGGGGATAATACATTTGTGTGTTCCTTGTTCTTTGGAGAGTTTCCCATCTCTGAATGTGGGTTTCTAGCATAATGTGAGGAATGGATTCTTCCATATAATAATAATTTAGAGTACAAGAAACATCGGTTTTGAATGAATATTTTGAAAATATGTGTGAATGCAATCCTTATTTCTGAATGTTGTGTAATAAAATATATACAGTATTGCTTACTTTGAAGATACGTAAGAAAGTAGATATGATTGTTGTTAATTTTACTTTATATAAACTTAGTAGTTATATATGTATTAAAAATAGTTCTCAGATTATATACTGCTCAAAGATATCTAAACTGATCTCTTGTCTTTTATGTTCATATTTCAGCTTTTATTTTAAATACTGTTTTGTCTGCTATACTTAATAATAATTTTGTTTCAAGTGATCTAATCTACTATCTCTTGCAGTCTGATTTTAAGAGATTAAATATATTTATATAACAGCAGGCAAAATATTCTAATGAATTTTGATCTTGTAAAAATCAAAATTCAATCTTTTTATTGTCCAATAGTTGTTTATTTTCCTATCTATGTTTTTATATTTTTTATCTTCAACCACATATCCATTTTCATTCAGTGGTCTTCATCATTTATAGATGTGAATGTTTTATACGTTTATTTTCTCTTCTTCCATATTTAGGGTACTTGGAATAGCCATAATACATCAAGCCCGCCTTCCTGGTTCCAGGACATTTCAGAAGGTCGAGAAACATTTAAATCTAGACAACTACCTAGCAGTGCTATTTGGAGCATCAAAGTGGTAATTAATCTTCACTTAATTTTATTGCAGTCATTCACCAGAATAGCTGGTTCTTCACTTACAATCACTTGTTTAGTGACTGTTCAAAGTAATAGTGGCGCAGACAAAGAGACAGCTATTTTCACACTTACAATTGTGGCCGCATCCTGATGGTCACGTGGATGATCAAAATTTGGATGCTTGGCAACTGGCATGTATTTATGACGATTGCAGTGTCCCAGGGAAATGCAATCCCTTTTGCGAACCTCTCACAAACAGAGTCAATGTTTTGAGTTATATGTAGTGAATTACTGCCTACAAGCTGTATCTCTATAAATATATTATTGTAGTTGTTAATTTGCAATGACTTAATTCAGTTGTACTGTACTTAAATAGGGTCGTGGGTCAGGGTTTCCAGGGAAGCGGAGACCACGAGGCGCAGGACTTTCTGGAAGAGGTGGGCGAGGGAGGTCAAAATTGAAGAATGGAATTGGATCAATTCTTGCTGCAGGGGTAAGAATCTATGACACAGCGTCTTAAGTTAACTAACCCAAACAAAGTTATTGCTGGCTTTTCATAAAATAGTTGTTGACATAATACAAAATGTCATAAAATATTTTCTGTGCTGATGTTTGACTGTGCTATGCATTTCAAAATGGGCTGTTTTCAAGGCAGATACATCTTTGAATGTATCCCAATTTTTTCGCCGAGGGCAGTATGTTAGAAGCTCTGTCATTGTTGAAAGCATTGAGGAAGAAGAAGGAAGTATCTCTGAAAGGATGAGTCATGGGTCATAGACTGTCTAGTATATAACTGAAATTAAAATTGTAGGAGGGCTGGGTATGGTGGTTTGTTCTCTTCAGTGAAACACGGATACAATATTTTGAACACGTATGGCTTATTTGTATACATCTCAAATAATTTATGGTCTATTGTACAAGCAGTTAAAAACTGTTACTAAATTATTATAGTATCTCATTTAATTCTTCTGTACTATTTTGCAGGTCACTGATATGGATAGCTCATCTAACAAAGATGAAGAAGAAAACTCCATGCATAATACAGTTGTCCTGTTCTCTAGCAGTGACAAGTTTACTTTACATCAGGTTGCAATACTCAGATGTACTTTGTTACTTTCTGTGTAAATCTGTCTTTCTGTGCGTTTGTCTGTCTGTCCATCTGTCCATCTAGACTTTTTGGGGGGAGAGTATTCAAATCAAAATCACTCCTCATCCACCCACCCCTGCCCAAGTCCCCAGTAGTGGCAATGGGTTACAAAATTCCAGGTCCCTGTTAAAATGAGAGAGTGAAGGCATTCAGTCCTAGGACATTGTTTCACAGCCCACCCAAAGGCAGAGGTGGATCGATCCTCTGTGTATTAGGAAAGGGGGATGGATTGACATTAGGCATGTATTATCATGATTTCGTTACTCTGATATCCTGATAAGCTGCTCATTTGTCTTCCCTTCTTTGTATTGCTCCTGTATATTTTCCACAGCTATGGAAATGTTAGCAGTTTTAAAGTATTTGCTTTGGATAGATTTGCATAAACACTGGTGCATTTTACCATGACAGTGCTACTAAGTCTGTGATTTGGTTCCACATATTTTATTTTTTTATGTTTCTTACAAATACACTAGAGCTAAAAAAAATATGGCTTTCTTCTCTAAGAAATTTTTAATTGGATTACAGAGTATTATAAGATACAAAATACAAAAGTATAAAAAAGGGTTTCTTGATCATAACAGTTCACTCTATTTTCTCTACCAGAATATCAGCAATATGCCTTTCTATTTAAACAATTGTTCTTTCATGTATTATAAAAGAAATTAATTAGATTGAAAAGGGGATTTTAGTGTCTTACTATGTTTTTTTTTATGTGGCTTGGGTCTAAAATCAGCTTCACAAAAATGTGAAAATTTTACAAGTACTATATAGTGTGTAATAATGCATATATAGATTATGCTAATAAGTGACCACTATATATCTGAATCTTCTATAAGGCCCCTAAGATACATTTTAAAATGATAGATGAGGATATGTAGCCATCAGATGCTCTTGGGAGTGGATGGGGTTGGAATGCCTAATTGCTGTCTCTTATTTGAAGATACCTGTTTGATATTCCAGGATATGTGTGTAGTTTGTGGGAGCTTTGGACAAGGTGCAGAAGGCCAATTACTTGCCTGCTCACAATGTGGTCAGTGTTATCATCCATACTGTGTGGGTATTAAGGTGAGTGTTTGTATACCTGTTTATCCTTAAAAGCCCTGTGTAGCTTGGGTTTAGATTATCTATGGGAGAACATTTGCTTCTATATACTCTGACCCTACCTGATAATCCCATGGAAGTCATTTCACAGGGATTTAGAACCGAGCCCTTCTTGTAGCTTCCCAAGGTCTCTGGAATGCACTCCTTGCTAAACTGAGAAATGCTTCGTTTTCTTTTCAAAAACATAACTCCCTTATAATTTTATTGTAAAAATTCAGTTTTAACTTTTAGATTTTAATTTGATTAATTAATTTATTTAATGAATGTATATAGCTACCCAACTTACCCATGGGCAATCCTGAGCAGCTTAACAGCATTTAAAAAATCCACCACATAATAAAAACCACCATCCATCACCCATAACAGCCACAATACAGTCAAATCTATCTCTCGTTCAGTTCTGTCTCTATGTGTGGTCCCCAGGCCTGCTGACAAAACCACGTTTTTAGGGCCTTTTTAGAAAAGCAACTGAGGATTCCAACCCTATCGTGGGGGAATGGTATTCTATAAAGAATGGGTCACTACTGAGAAGGCCGCTTTTTGTGGTTCTGTCAGATGTACATTCCTAATCAATAGGACCTATAACATACCTTGCTTTCCTGTCCTAGTGGGCCAGATAGATGTAATAAAATGGAGGTTTATCTGTATTGGCAGGCCACTGAGAGACCTTAATAATGGCCAGTCATAAAAACATCAGTATCCTCATCTTCTATTCTACATCTAATTTTTTTTAAATCTTTTAAAATAATCCTTTATAAATATTTTATAATTTGTTTGCAGCTTGAAAAATATTTTAATGACTTTGTGTATATATACTATAAAAGTTATTTTGCAGCTATAAATTCTAATAATTACCTTGTTATAATGTTATTTGTTAAATATAATGTATATAACTGCCCTTTGCTGGGATTAACAATAACTGCTGTGTCTTATATTTATCAGACTAAATCTGGATTGTTAAAGATTTATGCAGAAATAATAAATTATTTGTTATTATATAAGCTGTTTTTTCAAACGTACTTAGTTTCACAGTAACAAGTTTTTATACATTCTACGTGAACATTTAACTTAAAATCTACATACATTTCATGAAAAGAATTTGCATTTTTAGAAGAATATATAGTTGAAACACTTGGTTAAAGAGTGCCAGTAAAAGATATTCTTATTGATTTTGGAAATCAACCCCCCCGCCCCAAATAACTAACACAAAAGTCCGACTAACTAACATGGATGATTCAGTTGTTGTACAATTTTTTAAAAAAATTATTTAAATGCACTTCAACGAATGTAATGAGAAAAAAAATTGAAGATTTTTTTTTTAGTAACTTGTTTTAAATAATTCGGCATGAGCCTGAAAACTTTCAACATTTAAAATGTCTTTGATTGTCAGGTTAGGAACTGATTAAAGCCCTTTAAAATTTTGCAATTTTATATAACACAAAGGATATGTTCCTGAATATAGGCAACATAGTAAGCATGGAAACCTCTTGTCTCCAGTGTTTCTCAATCTTGGTAAGTGAAAAATGTGTAGACTTCAATTCCCAGAATTCCCAGCTAGCATATCACTGTGAACATCAAATTGCCTCAGGAAAATAATGTCATTTGAATATTGTTGATGGGATCCAATGAAAGACGATAAAATTAAATGCATTCCCTTTTTTCATTACATTTGAACAAGTCTTAGGCTTTTTAAAAAATCTATTTGCAAAACTATTTATGGCATATTTTCCATCCCTTAAACTGACAATTTTGAAGTTTTAAGAATTTTAATTGCATGCTGCCTTCTTCTATACAGATTACAAAAGTGGTGCTCCACAAGGGTTGGAGATGTCTGGAGTGCACTGTTTGTGAAGCTTGTGGAAAGGCTACAGATCCGGGAAGGTTACTTCTTTGTGATGACTGTGATATCAGCTACCACACTTATTGCCTTGATCCCCCATTACAGACAGTTCCCAAAGGAGGTTGGAAATGCAAATGGTGTGTGTTTCTCTTTTTTTTACTCTCCATATTTTATGGGCTCAAATCAAATCTTTATCATGATTATAAACCACCTTATTTATCAAGGTTTTTTTGCTTGAAATTTAAACATGTCTTGTGGTGAACTATTTGGGGTTGCCTAACTGCAATCCATAAAGTATGATCATATTTTAACTAAAGTTCAAATAAGACAAATGGGAAAAACCATACATGCCTTCCAGTAATTGAGATTCCCAAGCAGAGTAATGTAGGAGCCTAAATTGAGAATTTATTTGCAAATGCTTTGGAATTAGAGATCTTAAGGACTTAGGGATGTATCTGGCTTTTAACATATATATTCGGGCCATTGGATCTGGGTGACTTAGAGTATTATGGTAGCCATGACAACCAAGAATAGTTGCAGCCGCATAGTACATTAATAAAAGAGTATATTTGCAGCTCAAGGTTGAATTATAGAGTCCTTGGTGATCTTTGAGCTTGGTTATTTTCTTGGAGACTTTTCATGACTCAATTAGGGAATATCTCCAGTGAAGATGCACTAAAGATGTTACCTAATTAAGTAATGAAACACCTGCAAGGAAACAATCGAGTTCAGAGAACACAAAGGACTCCATTTAGTACTTCATATTCTAAAATTAATTTAAATAGTCTCTTTAGTGATAAGATTTTGCATAATCTCACCTATTATATGAATGGGTTAATGTTTTGTTCATTGGAGAGAACAGAAATCTAAGCAAATGGTAATGTAAATACAAACTAAATGTTATTCATGTGCTTGTGTTTTGAAGGTGTGTTTGGTGCAGACACTGTGGAGCTACTTCTCCTGGTTTAAGATGTGAATGGCAAAATAATTACACACAGTGTGCTCCTTGTTCAAGTTTATCCACCTGCCCAGTCTGCTGTTGCAATTACAGAGAAGAAGAGCTTATTATGCAGTGCAGGCAGTGTGACAGGTTAAAATTTCTTTTACGTTGGGAACGAATATTTTTTTACTTGCTTGTTCATACTGTGTTCCCTTATATTTGTGGGATGAATTTTGATTTTTTTTATCAAAATGATTCTTCAAATTAGTTTCTGTTACCCAATTTATAAAATAGTTCAGTTTTTATCAAAGTTTTTTTCTCAGTCATGTTATTGGGGGTTATATAGCCATGACAGGAGCATATTCTTCAAATTCTAGAGTAATCTGAAGAAATTTTGAAGAATATTCTTTAAGTAACCATTAATTATTGATTGATTCTTCACAGCCATGCAAATAGATTGGTTCATGATGTGTCATGTCTTCCAATGGTACAGTATAGTATGGAATTAACAGCAATCCCTTGAACATAAAAACCACTAATTTAAAATATTTCTGCAGCTCAAAAAGTAATTGATAAAATTAGCAAGACCCACTTAGATTCATCTTTTTTATGTCCAACATTTCTTCATAATCTTCCTAACTTATCAATGTAGACAAGAAAAGGAACTAAATGACCTCATTCCAATCCCAGGGACTTTGGTCTTTTGTTATCAAAGCCATCATGGATATCAATACATCTACTAAATCTCAAAAATTGAGCTGTACTTAATCCTTCAGATTAAGTTTCGAAAAGCTTCCTGATATAAATCATCCACCATTTCCTGAACTAAAGAAGTTTGTTTTTATCAAAAACAAGTTTGGTTCAAAAACATTTTGAGATATATTTGAGAATGCTGGAATTATATAGCAACCCCCAGCTCAACCAACTGGCCCAAAAGGAATTTTAATAACTAATTTTATTAAACACCTGGGTTTTTCAGGAACACTGATCTTATTTCTCTGCAGGGACAATATTTGTATTGCATGATAAAATTGCATGTGTTTCAATCAACTCCTTTGCCATCTATGCTCTAATTTTCAGATGGATGCACACTGTCTGTCAAAATTTAAACACCGAAGAAGAAGTGGAAAACACAGCAGATAATGGTTTTGATTGCACCATGTGTAGACCATATATACTATCAGCAAATGGTAAATTCACCTCCTGTTTATCTAATAACAGCACAGTAGGATTTGCTGTAAAGCTTTTCTCTGACAGATGTTGAGTTAACAAAAGAGACAGCATTTTCTTTTGTCTAGATATTTTCTTAATGCTGTATAATCAGTAATAGAAAATGACATTAAAAATCTATTGTTTCTTTAGATCGACAGTTATCTTATAATATGTTATTAGAAAAGAAATGTGAAAATTTTAATAAAATTTTAATAAAAGTAAACTAAAAAAATAATTGTTTGAAGTAACAGACATGTGAAAACTACAAATTAAGGTTTCAATATCAAAATACTTTGCGGACTGCATAACTTAATTAAATGATAATTTTCATTGTTCATTTTTTTTCTAGTGCCTTCCTTTGAATTTTGTGAACCATCCATTGCAGCCCAAATTCCATTAAAAGCAAAGGAACTTGGTAACCATTAAAATTCTTCATTCTCTCCATCTAACATAGTTTCTACTAATAATTTACTGTTAAAGCTAGAATTATGCCTTAAAATTATATAATAAATATAATTGATTTTAACAGTTGGTTTTTGTTAGCTATTCCCTTGTTCATTTTTAAGCCCAGCTGATACTTTTCATGAATAAATGTTTAAGTCCTCCTTAATGGAAGTTAAATTGCTTAACTGAGCAAAAGATTTTACTCATAAAGATGAAGGCAGACCTTTCTCTGCTTGCCTTTTTGAATATGGTCTTTGAAAGGCAAGTGCACAATTTGACAAAAATTGGAGTGATTTATTCGGTCTTTATCTTTCCCCAATCTATTTGTAGTGGAACTTATTATTCTCTGGGTATCTCTTCACTTACATATGTTGAGTTGAATAATGTATGGAATAGGCTGTTTATAAAATGTTGTAATTAAATATTATAAATATAATGTTGGTTTTCCTTTGAAATAATTATGCAATCGTCTCTCTTTATCTAATATTAGAACAGATAGTCAGTCCTCCATGGTGTATTAATTGCAATATTTTAAAAATCCAGGAATTGTGCTTATAAACAAAATTATTAATAGTGTAAATTACTGTTGTGGTTCATGCCAATTTTATAGACCCACCGAAGACGTACACTCAGGATGGTGTCTGCTTGACTGAAACAGGGATGTCTCAGTTACAGAGCCTCAGTGCTATTGTACCAAGAAGAAAAAGGGCAAAGCCAAAGCTGAAGTTGAAGATTATAAACCAGAATAGTGTTGCTGTACTTCAAACACCACCTGATGTCCAATCAGAACATTCAAGAGATGGTGAAATGGATGACAATAGAGGTGATTGCTCTTTTCCTATTTTATTGAATTATATGTTAGAGGGTCTCTTGATGCACTCTGGAAGAAGAAGGAATTCATGGAACAAATCCAAAGCATAAAGCAGAAGACATTTGTAACAGGAATGATAGCTTACTTTAAAATTGTATTTGTTGACTGGGAAAAGTTCAAGATTTGTTGCTGCCTCAAAAAATCAGGGTGGCAAATGAACAAATGCCCAAGAGAGGAACAGAAGGGAAAGACTATTTACTTAGACTATATACTTGATCAAAATGGTGCTTATATTGGCAGCTGATCTGAGAGGCAGTGAGTGTCACTGTATAATTTTTATTTTCCTGAATATAGGTAATCCTTGGATTATGACCACTCATTCAACAACCATTCCAAATTGCAACAGCCCTAATCTTGGGGATACCTAGGATAGGTCCTTGGAATTCTGGCTATCATAGGGCAGTATCCCTACTTGGTGATTGTGATCTGGGTGCCTGGCTTGCAATTATGACATCACAGCAAGCCATAGTCACATGACTGCAATTTTTGATATTCTTTGCTGGTTTCCCAGAAGCAGAGTTAATGGAAAAGCCAGCAGAAAGTTGGAAATCCCAGTTTCTCATGATTGCTACTTATGGCATTGAGTGCATTCAAAGACACAAAAGTATTTAAAACTCATAATATCAGTGGATCAATGTTATACATTGATTCTTTGTTGAAATATATGAGTTGACCAATATTACACAGCAAAGAATTTTTTTGATTTACTATCATATATCATTTAATGAAAAGATAACTTGTCTACAAGTGTATCATGGTGTGGTTAACTGTATGTATGGGGCCGGCGCATTGTGCAACAAGGTCACATAGTGTAATAAGATTGGGACTAGGTTAGGAACTTCTGCCCTCGTTGTGAGTTGTGCTGGGGAGGGTGCATGAAGGGAGGCTCAGCCAATCTCATTGTACACATGTTGTACTCTGACAATAAAGATAATAATAATAATGTAAATTATTAATACCATAAAATTGTATCAGAAAAATGGCTGATGGAATGTCATATCCTAAAATAAGCATGCTGATTATTGGTTTACAACAACTTTCTAATTTTCTCATCGCAGATTAATATACTTTTTAGAAACAACAATAATGCATTCTGTAGCATTCATCAGAGTAAATCCCATTAACAAAATGTTATAGAATGAAATTGTTAAGGCACAGTGATGGAAGAAGCAAAATATTATATGAAGTCTTAAAAAAACATATCTGCCACAGCATGCTTTGTTCTTTGATCTCAAGTTCAATCGCATGGGTAGCATTGTCTGTCCAACAGAATCTTACTTTGGTCCAAGATCAGTTGATAAAAATTAGAAAACGAGAAAATCATAATGTTGCAATATTAGTATGAGGACTACAGCTGAATAGGAAGATAGTGAGAATAATATCTTTTCACTGTTGGGTAGCATTCTTGTCATTGACTAGTTTTTCCTTTCATTTAGAAATAGAAATTTCAGCTTTTTGGGTTTCCACTCTTAGTGCAGTGGGCAAAGCCATGAATATTCTTGGGAAGAAAGCTTGGCTTATTAGTTAGCATCTGACTGACTGTCTCTTGCCAGTCACATCCACCTGACCCACTAGAGCAGGGAGACAAAGAAAGTTGGGGGTCCTGTCCCCTAAGGAGGTACATCTGGTACAAGGAGGAGTACAAGGCTCTTCTCCGTGGTGTCTCCCTCCCTTTGGAACATCATCCATGCAGAAATTAGACTGCCCCCCAACTCTGACAGTCTTTCAGAAAGCCCTGAAGATGCGGTTTTGCCAGTGGGCCTGGAGAACCCAGAGTGTAGTTGAGCTCATCAAATGGCTTATTTAGTAGCGTGCTATTGCCAGGGGTGAGTGAGTAGTTCTAGATTGTGTGTTTAATGTTTGTAAGGCACAGTCGCTGTGAGCAAGTAGACAGCTATATAAATTTTCTAAATAAATAGATAAATAAATCTGCCTTGCTTAGGCCAATTTGGTTGTACTTCCTCAATGTGAGAGGAAGATGGCGAAGATCAGCTTGGCACAGCGGAGCTACAGAGTCATTGATAGAGGAATTTTGTTAGTCTGTCATTCATTGATCTAATGCCTAAACATTTTAAATACCTATTAATATCCAAAAAACCATTATATTACAATGCTCAGTTGTGTCTTAAAGCCTCAGCTAAATTCATTCCGAAGCTTCTTCAGGAAGTTGGCTTCAGTTATCCTTAACAAACAAATTTCCATACTTTATTGGAGCATGTTTTATATGGAGGTTTCTTTAAATACTGGATGGAAATTTCACTGGGTTTAGATGAAGCAGCAAAATTAAAATCTGGTATATGTACTTGAGAAAAAGCTAAGCCAATATTTAAAAGAGCTGTATTAGTTATTATCCTGGGACAATTAACAGCGCTGTTTGGGGATTTTAAAGCCCTAATTAATGTGAACATGAGTTTGGCTTGAATTAAGTTTGATTTAATTTAATCCATTATAATCTCTCAAGGCTTTTCTGGGATGTAATGGGGTGGTAATATTTATATATGCCAACCTTTGTACAGGAGCTCAAGGTGGCAGTGACAGTGCTCCCTCTCCTATTTTTCCCTTCAATGACAATCCTGTGAGGTAGGTTTTGCTGAGAGAAAGTTAGTGCCCTTAAATAATTTAGCAAGCTTCTATAACTAAAAGTGGACTTACTTCTGAGTTTCCCAGATACCAGTCCAGTGTCTTAATCGCTGTCATAATGCCTCACAAATAGAAAATGGAAAATAGAATAAAACTTTTTTACTTATGTCCTTATGATATGTTTCCCTCTCTTTTACTATTTGTAAACATACTCCGTAACAGCATTTAATCTTTTCTGCCTTTTAATAATCCTAGTATCTTTTTAACTTGTTTTAATTCAGAAGGAGACCTTATGGATTGTGAAGGAAAATCAGATACAAGTCCTGAACGAGAACCTATAGATGACGATCCTAAGGGAATGGAAGCAACCGAAGGGATCAAAAAAAGAAAGAGAAAGCCATACAGACCTGGTACATACTCCTTTCATATTTATTAGGCTTATATTTATTGGTTATATATGCATACATAATATTTTATTTAGAAATGAGGTTAGTTAAGTGTTGTTGAGAATTACTCTATCTATTGTATTCTGCAGTTTCATACAGTAGTTTTCATTTTCAAATAGGTAGTTCTTGACTTACATCCATTCATTTAGTGACCATTCAAAGTTAAAACAGCACTGAAAAAGGGATTTATGACCAGCTTTCGCACTTATGATTGTTGCCATATCCTCATAGTCACAGGATCAAACTTCAGACCCTTGGCAATAGGCGCCATCTGTTGAGGGTCCCAGGGTCACGTGACCACCATTTGTTACCTATTGAGGGTCCCAGGGTCATGTGATCGCCATTTGTAACCTACCCAGTTGGCTTCTGTGATGACCCGGGGCATGACACAAAAATAACAAAGTCCAAAGTAGAATAAATTCCCTTTAATGCCTCCAGCTTGGCCCCAGTGTCCAATTATCCTCGGCTGGATATCAAATTATTCAAAAAACAATCTACAAAGGGCAGAAATGCAGTCCGAACCCAAAGTAAAGATAATTAGAAATAAAACAACAACAACACAAACCACACTGAAGTAATTAACATGGCATGCCAGGATGATAAATTGCAGACTTTGAAAGTATAATGCAGCACCCACAGTTGGGAGGATGCCAAAATCCAGATAAGGCTTGACCAAGATAATGTATGCTTTGCATCCAGCAAGGAGCCCTGTGCGAACGCCCCATTTATATCCTGTTCTCCCAGCTGCAACTAATGAAAGCGATCAGGGCCTTCTTCTCTATTGTAAGCCACATTGCTCCCTTCTCCATTCCTCCCTGTGTGCCCTAGGATGAAGAGGGGATGGCCCTGGGTCTTCCTCTGAATGCCCAGCTGGACTGTGCCCTTCCCCCGTTTCTTCCACAGCCACCGGAGCCACACTCCCTCTCCCTGTCAACTGCTCAATCTCATCCTCAGAATGAGATTCCAACAAGGGTATGACAGCTTCTGACAAGAAGAGTCAAGAGTCAATAGGAAGCCAGGTTCACTTAACAACTATGGCAACAAAGATCATGAAATGGGGTGTAACTCACTTGACAATCGTCTGGCTTAGTAAGGAAATTTTGGGCTCAATTCTGGTTGTAAGTCAAGAACTACCTGTACTCCCTGATTATCAATATATATATGCCAAAGTTACCAAACAACAGAATAACTTTTCTTCTTCATCATCATCATTATTAAATAAATCCTCATAGCGTCCATGTAAAAGAGATATCAACTTATTACAGTTTGACAATCACAAATTTTGATGTTCGGGGGAAGCGTGAGGATTTTTGTCATCTGATATTTCTATTGATATATAGGTCATTGTTGGATTAATACGGGAAACTGTTGGATTTCTTATGCGTTGTATTGAATTCTTGCAAATGGGAGCTATCTCATCAGGCAGAAATTATAGATACTCAATTTTTTTGTTGATTCCCTATTATCTTGACCGAGGGAAGAATTCTTAGTATGTCTTTGTAGGAGGGCAGGCTGCCTAGGAAAGTGCCAGCACCTGTGTTGCTGTTGTCTTGCCTCTTTAAGCTTCTCCCTAGCCAGCATAGCAAGCTAGGCCATAAAAGCTGTGTTGAGAGACAGCTGGGTGTGGTTGTGCTGGTAAGAGGAAAGGGTGTGTGTGTTCGTGTGTGGGAATAAAGCAACTACAAAAATTAAATATATTTAATATCTAGAATTGCCTTTAGTAGTTTTATTATTATTGCATTTGAATGACATTATGTATTATATAGAAATGACTACAAAATATCTACACTCTAGGATGTTTCTCTTTATTTTAAAAAAATGAACTATAACTTAATAATTTAAATAACACAGTCGCCTGTGTGAGTTGAGCGGGCTATCTAAATTTTCTTAATAAATACCGTGAACGTATTTTTTATAGGCATTGGTGGATTCATGGTACGGCAGCGGAGTCGCACAGGACAAGGAAAAATGAAAAGAGCTCTCTCTAGAAAAGATTCTTCTGGTTCTGTATCTGAGCAAATACTCGGCAGAGATGAAAGTAGGCATCTAGCAATTTATTCTCATAGTTCTGTGTCACTGTCATGTAGGATAATTATATTTTAATTAATCAGTTACTTTTTTTAACCTAAGTTTTTTCCGAAAAGCTTAATTCACTGTCATTCCTGAAGACATTACATGATTGCATCCTTGTATACATTCATGTATTATAATTTGAGACAATTTTCCAGTATGAATTAAATTCAGTCAGATTTACTCTGAACATAAAAGTGTAGTTCTACAATTTTGTTAACCATTCTCACTTGAAACAATCTTTCTAGTTAAAAAGCATCCTTGTGGTAGTTTATTTATGCAAAGCTGGTGTATTATGAAGAGATGGACTTAATTCTTACAGAGAAGAAGTTGAAACTGTAGGAACCTTTGGGAAAGTGACCATGTCATGCTAGAATTCAACATAACACAAACACAAGCAATAGAATATAATGACACCACATTCTTGGATTTTAAAAGAGCTGATTTTAATAAACTCAGAGAGAACTTGGGAAAGATTCCATGGATGAAAATCCTAAAGGGGAAAACAACTCAAGAATCTTGGGAAACTCTAAAAAGTATGATCATAGAAGCCCAGACCAGCACAATACCACTGAGAAAGAAAAACAAGAAATCCAAGAAGAAACCAGCATGGCTGCACAAAGATCTCTCTGGCAAATTGAAAGTAAAAAAGAACAAGTACAAAAAATGGAAAGAAGGACATACAACTAAGGCAGAATATCAGCAGATAGCCAGAATGTGCAAAGACGAAGTCAGGATAGCAAAGTCTCTGAACGAACAAAGACTTGCAACAAAAGTCAAAGATAATAAAAAAAAGTTTCTTCCAACATATCAATAACAAGAAAAAAATCAAAGAAACAGTCGTTCTACTTAAGAGAGAAGATGGCAAGGAAGTAACAGGCAACAAGCAGAACTACTTAACTTATTCTTTGCATTGGTCTTCACGCAAAAAGAAACTATAGCTCAACCCACCAAAAACATAACTGTAAAAGACAGACCAGAAATAAAAGTTAAAATAAGCCAAACAATAGTAAAAGAACACCTGTCTGATCTTGATGAAAACAAATCACCGGGGCCAGATGGATTACATCCCAGAGTTTTAAAGGAGCTGGCAGAGGTCATCTCAGAACCACCGCACCATATCTTTCAAAAATCCTGGAGCACCAGGGAACTACCAGAGGACTGGAAAAGAGCTGATGTGGTTCCCATCTTTAAAAAGGGGGAAAAAAACAGACCCAGGAAACTATAGACCAATCAGCCTAACATCGGTACCGGGAAAGATACTGGAAAAGATAATAAAAAAACAGATCTGCCAACATCTAGAAACAAGTAAATTAATAACTAGCAGTCAGCACAGGTTTGTTAAAAACAGATCATGCCAAACCAATCTTATTTCATTCTTCAACATAGTGACTAAATTAGTAGACCAGCAAAATACTGTGGACATAATATACTGTATTTAGGTTTCAGCAAGGCATTCGACAAAGTAGACTACAACCTACTTCTTAGTAAATGAGAAAAAAAGTGGAATATATAGCACCAATAGATGGACTCGCAACTGGCTGACAAACAATACTCAACGAGTAGTCCTTAATGGGTCTAAGTCTACATGGAGGGAAGTAAGCAGTGGGGTACCACAAGGTTCCGTCTTTTAGGCCTAGGATTCTTCAATATCTTCATTAACTACTTAGATGAGGGAATAGATGGGGAACTTACCAATTTGCAGATGATACTAAGCTGGCAGGAATAGCTAACACCCAAAAAGATAGGCTCAAGATCCAGATAGGTCTTGACAGACTAGAACACTGGGCCATATCTAACAAAATGAAATTCAATATAGAGAAAAGTAAATCCTACACTTGGGCAAGAAAAACCAAAAGTACCCATATAGACTGCATGAAACCAGGCTCAATAGCAGTAACTGTGAAAGGGATCTTGGAATCTTAGTGAACAACCAGCTAAATATGAGCCAGCAGTATGCAGCCGCCGCCAAAAAAGCTAATGCAATCCTAAGTTACATTAACAGAGGGATACAGTCAAGATCAAGGGAAGTACTAATACCACTCTATAAAGCCTTAGTAAGACCACACCTAGAGTACTGCATCTAGTTTTGGTCACCACACTATAAAAAAGATGTTGAGACTCTAGAAAAAAAGTGCAGAGAAGAGCAACCAGGATGATTAAGGGACTGGAGGCTAAGGCATATGAAGAACGGTTACAGGAACTGGGCTTGACTAATCTAGTGAATAGAAGGACCAGGGGAGACATGATAGCAGTCTTCCAATATCTTAGGGGCTACCACAGAGAGGAAGGGGTCAATCTATTTTCTAAAGCGCCTTAGGTCAGACAAGGAATAATGGATGGAAACTGAACAAGGAGAGATTTAACCTGGAAACAAGGAGAAATTTTCTGATGGTGAGAACAATCAACCAATGGAAGAGAAGTTGCCCTCAGAAGTTGTGGGAACGCCATCACTTGAGATTTTCAAGAAGAGACTGGACTGCCATTTGTCAGAAATGGTGTAGGGTCTCCCATATGGGTGGGGGCGTTGGACTAGATGACCTATAAGGACTCTTCCAACTCTGATTATCTGTTATCTGAGATGCATAATTTAGTAAAGTTTATTGAAATGAGAATTGAAATACAATTTGTTTGCATTAATATAAAAACAGATGATGAACAGGGGAAAAGCAAAATAAAAATAATCCACTAGAAACAAATATTAGGGAGGTCTGCAGGTAATGTTGACTCTTCATTACTGCCTGGATAGGTTCCTACAATTTGCTTGGCAAGATTTTTCAGAAATGGTTTGCCATTGACTCCTCCTTAGAACTGAGGGAAAGTGACTGGCTTTGTAACTAAGGCAAGACTAGGATTTGCAGTCTCCCAGGTCTAGTCTTAATTAATACACCAATGGCTGAAATTCTAAAGAGAGCTAATGGCAAAGGGTGACCATTATAAAACAATACCTTTAAAAGACACCTAAAATATCTTAACATTGTATGTTAGGTATCTTTCTAAAAAGCTCTGCACCCTTTGAACTGTTAGTCTGAAACCCATGGCATAGAGAATAGGTCCTTCCATGGAGATTGCAGATGATGTTAAAGACACTTCCTTTAGAATATGGTGCCAAGTGTTTAAGAGTCTTGCATACCAATGCCACGTTACCTTTGCATCACTTTTACCAGATTTTCAGTTTCAATTTTTGCTGTTTTTAAATCGGAGAAAGAACTAATCAATACCCTCTTTCTGTACTTTAGCTCTGTAGTAGAGTGAAATAGGGTTTTAACATTGTATATGTTTGCTATTTCTAGATTGGAATGAACAACTCCCTGATACACTTGTTGATGAAACTATGTCTGTTTCTGAAAATATGGAAAAAATGAAAAAACGTTACAGAAAAAAGAAAAATAAGCTTGAGGAAATTTTTCCAGCATATTTGCAGGTACTGTCAACAGCTATGCAAAATATTTTCCCTAAGATCATTATTTGCATGTAGTAAATAATCTATCTGTAATTTAAGAAATTGCTTTATAATTTGTAATCTATTAACACTGGTGTTAATTTCCTTGTTCTATGAATATTATTTCATTGGTTTTCTGAAAAGTATAGTATTTATTTTAATATATTAATACATCATAATTTTTGAATGCATTAATAGAGACATATTAATATAACATATCAATAGTTAATTATAGACTAATTAGCTGAAAGAATGTTCTGTTTCTAGTATGAACACACTTTTGTTTGTGTCACTGAATTACCAAGAGGCAACAAAGTTTTTGAAATTTTATTTTTATAGTATTTAAATTAATTGCTTGGATTTTATGATAAATGAATGGAGGGAACTTCATAGAGGAACCTGTCTGATAAATACCTTCTGGAGAGATGGTGTTGCCCCACCCCAAACAGAGCAGAAAAGGATAGAGGAACAAATCACAAGTGAACAACATTAGCAATTTTATACACAGAACCATAATTGAGTTAAATATGAGTGTGTTTTGAAACAAGAGAAATTACATTTATTAACTATAATATTAACCAATAAGTATTTGAATCTGTTTCAGTTCAGATTCAGATTCAAATATAGGAAACCTGTGGCTTATAAAGACATTTCAATTAAATGCTTGCTTTTATTGTTTGTTTATTATTTGTTTTAATTCTAGGAAGCTTTCTTTGGAAAAGAACTTTTAGATACTAGTAGGCAAAGCAAGCCAAGTTTGGATAATTTATGTGATAAAAGCCTCAGCATTTCCTGCAAAGCAAGCCTGAGCACCAATTTCTTAGACCCATCTTCAGATCCACTTCTGAGTTCAACTTCTACTTCCACTCCCTCAAAATCTGGTGCACAAGGTACATAAATCTGAAGATATTTTCGCATGAGGTGGGCATGGGCACAGATCAGAAGAGGCCTTCCTAGAAGAGTCTTTTAGTAAAAGGAATACCTGTTTAATGTCATAGTTACTCTTTGGAGTTCCTTCGTTCAGAGGTAGAGATGACCCTGGGTAACTGAAATGTTTGTTTACTAAGTTTTGAAAGTTGCCAATCCTGATGGCATCTTTATTATGTTTGAGTTTGAGCTGTCTGTTTTTTAAAGGTACTCTGGATGATCCATTAGCTGCTCTTGTGCTGAACACTGAGGATGACATCCTTGGAATTCTTTCAGATGATTTAGTGAAACCTGGGGATCATTCAGGTATGATTGGAAAAAATGTTCTTTATGATGTTTATGATAGCTGGTTACTTGCAGTTGAAACATTCACTTAGGGCTCTTTTTGATTCATATTATGTTGTCTGAGATGACAAAAGGGAAATCATTTTGCTTTTGAACTTCCATATTTCTGCCTTGTGATCCCCTCAATGTACTGTATATGAATAGTTGTGGCTCTTAGGACCACAGTTGGGACCAGAATTTCCATTGCTATGTCAGGCAGTTGTTAAGTGAGTTGTGCCCAATTTTGCAACCTTTTATACTACAGTTTTTAAGTAAATTACATTGTCATTGAGCAAATCCAGCTTCTCCTAATGACTTTGCTTGTTAGAAGCTGGTTGAGAAGTTGCAGGTGTGGATCACATGACCTCAGGATGCTGCAACTGATCTAAATTCATGCTGATTGCCAAGGCTCCAGATTTTAATCATGTGATCATGGAGCTGCTGCAACAGGTGCGAGGATCAGTCATAAGTCACATTTTTCAGTGACATAGTAACTGCCAACAAGTTCAGGTCTACCTACATGTGTATTTGTTTATATGCATAATTTTAAAATATGCTTCTACTAGTCAAGGCTATCACCTCTTGCTTTGCTTAATACATCTGTCCTTTGTTTTTGTTTTTTTTATTGTCCTTTATTACTCTGGGGATATCTTTCAGTGTTTTTTCATATCCATGAACTATTTCAGCATGCAGCTATATACTTTTGATTTGTTCTTGCTTGCTTGCTTCACTTTTTTTTTCTTATAATCATCCATTTTATCTGGTTTGGATCCTGTAGGTCTTGATTTATGCACTTTCCAGGTTGAGAACTCCTCTTCCCCCTTTGGTAAGGAAATATTCAGTGGATGATCAGTATTTAGAAGTAGTTCTGTTTCCTCAGGGTTTCAGCTGATTTTTTAAAAAAATGCATGCATAGTGTAATAACTCTTCTGTTGCCTCACTTTCTTTCATTTTTCACTACTTTTGTGCAGAGTCTTGCGCAATGTAACATGCCTGTATTTATAGTGCACTTAGAAGAACTCGATTTTTTAATTTAAAGAATATTGTGAATAACTACAGAATTGTCTATGTGTGCATTTCACAATATCAAGTAATACATTTCTCTTGAACTTATTTAAAGCATTTCATGTCTCTGTTTAGATTAGTAGACTTTTTATTTACATCAATAAATATAAAAGCATGGAGGGGCAGGAACCTTCTGGTTTTTAATTTAGCTTTGGAATGTTTTTGCAAATGTAAGTTAAGAATGCTAGATGTAACGCCTAAGATTCATATTTTAGAAAAGAGATTTTTTTGACAAAAACTTAAACATATTATAAAAGCTCTAAAATTCCACAGTATTTTCATTCCTGGTAAGTGTTCTGCTTTTAGACATAAAAAGTCAGTCCTTTGAGATAGGCTAGGTCAGGAAAAGACGTACTGCACAAGCTACAAAAACACTTCATTGTTTCAGCAGATTATATTGGAATTTTGAAAACCTGTTTCCCTTTGCTCCCTATTTTATAAGGACAGTCATGTCAGGGTTATCTTGAATTTCTTTCTCTCTCCCTTTTCCTTCCTTAAGTGGCTATAAATAGTCCTAGACCTACAACCATAATGGAACTTACCCATTAGGCTTGCAAGTTGTTATGGTTGTACAGCAGGTCATCCTGTGACTGACCCAATTTCACATTCTTTTTTATTTTGTGGTGGTTGTTAAGTAAATCAGAATGATCATGAAGTGATCCATGGTTCTTAAGTAAACATCTCAATCATTAAGTAAACTCTTTATTTGCTATGTGTCATTTTTGCCAAAATCCAGAAATAAACGCTAGTATTCGGCAAAAATATTGTAAATCACAGGCACGTGAGGGCAGAGCACGGCAAACAGCTATAAATGCAGGATGGTTGCCGAACACCCCAAATATGGTCACATGACCATAGGTGGTAGGTGTTTGTCAACACTTTGGAATTGGGTTGTAAATATCTGAAGGTTGTCAGGTTGAATCACTGCAACTGGACTAGTTTTTTGTTGTTAGTTTGAGAGACATTTCACTGCCTGTCAAGACAACTTCCTCAGTCAGAGGAAAGCAGTCAGTCATTGGAACATACCAACTCCGGCCACCACAACCTCAGGGGTTTCTTCCCCAAAGTGCATTGCAAAATGCCGATGAAGATTCTCAGTCATCCAGGTAAAGTTCTCAAAAGTTGTCTGAAGGGTGAATCATTGCAACTGGACCGGGCTTTTTTGTTGTTTGTTTGTAAGACGTTTCAACGCACTTTGGGGAACAATCCCCTGAGAATGGTGTGGCAGGAATTAGTACATTACAACTCTCTGCCTTAACTGCCTTGTTCTGACTGAGGAAGCTGCCTGGTTGGGCAGTGAAATGTCTCTCAAGCTATTAACAAAATTTAGTGCTGTGGCATTGATTCAACCTTCAGACAACTCTACCTGGATGATTGAGAACCTTCATCGATGTTTCAGGTCATAAACACCTTTTGCGTGGGGTCTGTCATAACTTGGTTGCTAAGCAACTAGTTCTAAATTGAGGACTACCTGTTTACCTAATTAATGTTGCAGTTGTGGGATCTGTTGTCTAGTTTTGAAATAAACAATCACCAGCCAAAACTTCCAAGAGAAAACAATGCTAATTTTATTTACTGCTTTGCAAAGAGGGTGCCTCCACGCACATGTAGGTACAATGGACACACCCTAAATCATCAATATGTTTTCCTTATATTGTACATTGCCATTACAGATTTACCTCCCACCCTTTCCTCATTAGCTTAGTACTCATGCCGTCACAATCTATCCAAAGCATCTAAAGTGAATACATTATCTCCGCCCCTGATTATATCTCCCACTACTCTAATTCTATCACACCCTGCCCTTATTTATAAATCGCCTTGGGTGGTCCTAGTTCCTAGGGGTTGTCTCTCCTAGGAGTAAATATATCAGTAAATTCTGGTTAAGACCAGTTTTTAGCATAACAGCACCTTCTAACATGTAATTCTCAAGCTTCAGCCTAGCTCCATGATGGTGACCCTATGGCATGCATGTTGGAAATGGCATGCAGAGCCATCTCCGCCAGCACATAAGCCGTCACCCCAGAGTGACTAAATTGCGCAGGTGTGCACGCCGCCTACCCACCCGTCAGCTGATCATTGGGTAACTCCTGGGCATGTGCAGGGAGTGGGGCACGTGGAGGAGATTCGCGTGCATGTGCAAAAAGTGGCATGCGTGACGGGGTCGTACATGCATGCGCAGAGACATGCAGTGCACATGCGGGTGTTGTGCACACATGCACAGGGGCATGGGGGCTCCCGCGTGCATTGCCTTATAGATGCTGGCACGCCTGCATGCTCACACATGTGCGAGTGCACACTTTTGGCATGCGAGGAAGGAAAGGTTAGCCATCACTGGCCTAGCTCATGAGATTAGAAATGTATACAATGTAGTTTCTTCATAAGCTACTATGTCTTCTTACAATTTTGTAAAAACAATAGACTCTATTTTCCACACACTTCTTTTTCAACACTGGCATACATGATTTCTCTCTTTCTAGATACCACACACACACACATATACACAAAACCTATATACACACCTCAGATTCTATTAACTTGACTAATAAAACGTTTCTGCCTGGAAGAATAATTTTTCACCATCACTACTTGTAATACTTTCTTGCCAAGAAAAAAAAAGCATAAGCTAAAATATATTATCAATTTATGTATTTAATAAAAAACAATCAAAATGATTTGAAGCAATTGGCTAAATAGTTAACCAACTAATTTAGTCATATAAATCACCCTAAACAGTGAAATGGGCAGCACAGAAATTTAATATATTCAATAAATAAAATAAAATATCATGTAAACTGCTGCCAGAACAACTGAATAAAATCCAGCCAAATGATTTCAAACAGTGACCCATACGGAATTTCAATTTGCCAGCATTGCCTCGGCAGTTTAATAAAAAAGAGAGTTCCTAGTTGGTGCCAGTACTGACTCAAAGAACCTTACTTGGGTTTTCAATTAAATGGGTGAAAGTAAAACACGTCCTTGTCACATAGCCTTGAAGAGACCAGGATTAGGTCAGTTACAGAAGCAACGATGCCGCAAAGATTCTAATACAACGCAGCAGTCTGCAAAGGGAAGGAAGGACAAGGAGAAAAACCAGGATGAGATGCACAATAAGCTACAATCAGGAGCAGTCTAAGCCAGCATGTGGTTTGGTATTTGAAATAATTAGCAATTTTATAAGCAAAAGTTTTCCCTGAGCAGTAAATTAATGTACTAAGCCAAACTTGGGATCAGAATAAAAAGTTTTCTTTCACCAAAATGTAGTTTCTAAGCCAGAAATCATGACAGTTCCCACTACATCTTGTCTGACTTTTTAAACACTTGTAAAGTAGAAAAGAAATACAGTTTATAATCTTCCTACTGGTAGTGAAAACATTCATTTCTCAGCCTACTAAATAATTAGAAGTAATGCTACACATACCTGTTGAAAAGCATAACTGTTGTTTTATTATAAAACAATACTCCATAGTTGTAGTCTTTAACACCCTTCATCAAACAGTATGCACTATTCATGTCTAAATCATATTTAAAGACCCCGAGCTTTTTTAATCTTTTGAGTACTTCAGACATAGTTTCACAGCATCCATAACACAGTTTTCATTTGTTGACTGATTTATTTGAAAAAAAAAACATTCCCTTAAATGTAAAATACCCTTATCTATTTTTGATATATGTCAAATATTACAGTAGTTTTATTATTGTCAAGATTTTGATGTGCATTTCGTGATTCAAATCCATATGGAAATAATGCCTTTATTGAGTTAACTGAACATTTACAAAATAGCTGATAGATGTTATTCATTAGACAAATTGGTTATGAAATGTTTATGAAACAGGAGGGGGGACAAAAGTTAGTAATCTGTCATTATTTGAAAACTTTGAAAGTTTGCAATTGCAATTCACTAATAAAAACTTTCCCACAATACATAATTGGGTTTGTTTTTCTGGTACCAGTATGGATGCTTTTCCTGTTTATTATATTCAAAATATTTTTTAAAATGAAAACATTGACTTCTTAAACTGCTCAATACTGTTATTACATTTGGCTGTATGCACGATAGGATTTTTTCCTACCATTTAAGCCAATTAATGTTATTCAAAATTATCTTTTTCCTTCAGCTGGACTAGATATTGGGCCTATCTCTGATGATCCCTCCACCTCGATGCCTCTGCAGAATGTCAGCCAGAGTACCCGGCCACTGAGTGAAGAACAGTTAGATGGGATCTTGAGCCCAGAATTGGACAAGATGGTCACAGATGGTAAATGGTTATGTTGTGTCCTTGTCTTCCAAGCCAGCTTGTTGTTTTGGCATATTACCACATATGTTCAACTTCATGCTAGTAATTCTTGAAATTAATGTGTTGCAATTATCTAAATTCTGTGAATGGTAAATGGTGATTGGTAATATTCATTGCTTTTACTTTGTGCAGGTGCAATTCTTGGTAAATTATATAAGATTCCAGGTATGTGACCTATTTTTAATATCTTTCTTTGAAGTTTATTTCACACACATTCATATTATGTGTGTGTGTGTGTGTGTGCACCACATCAATATCTGTCTGCTATTGCTCTAATGCCCCCTTATATTTCATAGAACTGGGAGGAAAAGATGTGGAAGACTTGTTTACTGCTGTATTGAGTCCTGCAGCCACTCAGTCAGCTCCTTTGCCACAGCCTCCACAACCACCTCCACAACAGTTAATGCATTTGCACAATCAAGGTTTGTTTTTTTTATCAATTTAAAAGTATTTCATCCTAAATAAACAATATGGCAATTGAGAGCAGTTCAAGAATAACCAGTGCCTTGTCATAGACATAGTCCTCAACTTAAAAAAATCATTCGTTTAGTGTCCATTTGAAGTTACAATGGTGCTGAAAAAAATGTCAGGTGCCAGTAACCAGAACAACTCCGTGAACAGGCCCAACCAGATACTTTATTGCTAACCACCTATATTACAAGATTTACATATTTCTTGGGAAACAGCAGATCTAGACCTAAGGACTTGACCTCAGACATTTCCTTCCCTGAGGAATGAGATGACTGGGAGTTGTTTTTACTTCTGTAAAAAGGTCCCCCTCTCCTTCAGCCTGTAATTTCACCACAAAAAGTGACAGTGGGTCATTCCTCACACTTGCAACAGTCGCAGTGTTCTTGTAGTTACATGATCAAAAGTTGGGCATTTGGCATAGATTTCTGGCAGTGGTACTGTCTTGGGGTCATGTGATCACTTAATTGCAGCCTTGTCAGCGGGCTTCCTAGAAGCAAAGTCAACGAAGGAAGCCAAATTCATTTAACTACCACTTAATGACCAGTGATTTGCTTAATGACCATGGCAAAAAAGGTAACATTGAGCATAACTCAAAGATTGCCTTGCTTAGCGACAGAGTTTCCATCCCTATTGTGGTCTTAAATAGAGGATAAGCTGTATGGGGAAGGTGGGGTTTTTTTAAAGGATTTTTAATATACCTTAACTGCTCACTATAATTTGTAAAAGGGATTCTGACCTCTTTTGAGGGGAGATGTAAGGACCTTTACTGTATTTTTCAGAGTATAAGATTCTCTGAAATATAAGATGTACCTAGCTTTTGGGGAGGAAAACAAGGGGGGGAAACTGCCTCTGCCTCCCAGCAATTTGCCTCCTTGCAGCAAACAGCAAACAGCTAATCACCTTCAGCACAGCCTGATTAGCACAAGCAGCTGATTGTCAGTTGGATTGGCCTCCCGAAGATCAGCTGTTTCAGGCTGCAGGGATCGCCATTGCCCATTGCTGCTCCCGTTTTTGACCTCCGCATCTTGTTTTTGGCCTCTGTGCGTCCTGTTTTCGGCCTCCGCGCACCCCATTTTCCACCCATTCTGATCCCTGCCACCTGAACATGGGGCATGTGGAGGCCGAAAATGGGGCACACAGAGGTAGCAATAGGCGATGGCAATCCCTATTGCCAATGACCAACAATCGGCTGCTTATGCTAACCAGGCTGTGCTAAAGGTGACTAGGCTGTTTGCTGTTTGCTGCAAGGAGGCAAATTCCTGGGAGGCAGAGGCCAAAGGGTGGGGGCCGGCAGGTAGGCAAGGCTTCGGCAACATTCACTGTATAAGATACATTTCCATCCGCGTTTTGGGGGAGGGTGCATCTTATACACCAAAAAATATGGTTATTCATTTTTGCATTTATTTTTTCATTACATTATTGAGATTACTTTAAACTTGCATGTAAATCAATCTCATAACTGTTCTTTTACACGTTCCCTTCTTATATTATAAATATTCCTTACCTATACAAATAGTGTTTTATTAAAGATAATATTAGTTAACACAGGCCCTGAATATGTCTTTGTAAACTATTCCCAACAGAACTGAAATTGTGTATTTGATAGTTCCTTCAAAAGCTTTAATCTAATTCTGTGAAACCATGAATCAGAGGTTTATTAGCCTAATCGATGTGAGATATTCTAAAACATGAAGAATAGCTAAATGCTGTAGATATATCCTAAGTTGTGTTCTCCTGTTAGCAACAAATTGGTCTAGAACTGTTTATTATTAATTTTATTTTTCCATTTTATTCTTCTAAGGGGAGAATGCATTTTCAAGAGTTCCACTTATGAATGGCCTGATTGGACAAACTCCCCATCTCCCTCATACAGCCTTAGTACCTGGAGGTGGATTAGGAGCTTTCTCAACTATAACACAGCCTTCCTATGCTGATACCAGGTTAGTAAATTTAAAGTTCAGGTATTTTTTTAAAAAAATCTGGTACAGCCTTAGGCATGAAAGCCACCTGGGTGATTTCGAACTAGTCCCTTTCTCTCAACTCAGCCTATTTCACATGGTGGCTCTTGTGAAGAAAATACCATAGGAGAATGAAGGGTCATTATACATGTTCACTTCCCCAAACTATTTATAAAAATAATAACAGGATAAAACTATAATTAAAAAAACATAGCTAGCAAGAAATTAAATTAATACAGAATTAAGTTAAAAGATTGGGCTCCCTAATTTCTCACTGACACCAGAATATGGTGTGCCAGTACTGTTAACAATTTTAAAATATAAGGTTTGGGAGCATGTAGTTCTGTATGCAAAAATTGATATCTATGCTTTGTTTTTGTGTTGTGATTTTAGAGATAAAAACACAGTATTTAATGCAATGATTAACGATCCTAACAATCCTTGGGTTGCAACTGCAACTCCTTTGGAAGGAGAAAATGATACCATGTCTAATGCGCAGAGGAGCACTCTGAAATGGGAAAAAGAGGAAGCACTTGGTGAAATGGCAACAGTAGCACCTGTTTTATACACAAATATCAATTTCCCAAACCTAAAAGAAGAGTTTCCAGGTATGTTATCAAGTTAAACTTAATTTCTGCAGGGCTATTGGATGTTCACTTTGTTTCAGGGTATTTTATTTTTTTAACATATCCTATGAATTGGATAATATTCCACAATGTATCAGTAATAATTCTAGTACCAATTAATGCATTTGTCTCCTTTCTCTTCTCCATGTTCTCAGACTGGACTACCAGAGTCAAGCAGATTGCCAAGCTATGGAGAAAGGCAAGCTCTCAAGAAAGAGCTCCATACGTGGTATTGAACCTTTTCAGTTTATGAAAACACATTTTCTCTTTATCTACAACTTCTGTTAATTAGTCTAGAAATTATTTTAAACTGTGAATTGCTAAGAAGTGTATTGCTTCAGCAGAGTACATTTTAAAAACATAAAATCTAGTAAAACTAACTTGTTCAATAGGCATTTTTCCAGACTTCTCTGTGGGTTACACAGGGATCCATGATAATTCACTGCATTAAAGTTGATTTTAAGGATCTTTTTTCCCCTTTTTGTTTAGGCTTTCCACTCTTTCTTATCCACTTCCATTCGAGATCCAACTGGATCAGACTGAGAGAAAGGCTTTCTTTATGAGTCTAAATTTCTTTAAAGTGGTGTGAGACTGAAAACAATAAGATTTGATACATAAATAACCCATACTTCCTGGGCCCCTTGATTGCCCAAGAGGCAGAACAAGAAACACATAAGTGTCTGAACCCTTGAAGACCCTTTTTATTCAGATCTCAGTCCCCTTTACATGTTCCAAAATTTGAAAGTGCCAAGATAATAGATTAATTTGAAGAAACATTCTAAGAGAAAGCATTATCTTCTTTCATTCCTCAAGGACATAAATCAGTAGTAGCTAAGTTTTCTTGCTTTCCTAAATACTAACTGCTTTTTGATTTCCCAAATCTACTTTTTAGGGCATTCAAAGTTTGTTATTATTGTTCATGTTTTGTGAATGCTTTGTGTAACATTTTACTTTAATATGGAATTTACATACAGATCAAATTTTTGGTAACAACCTAATTGATTTGGTCATCTAGGGTTGCAATTGGAAGAATCTTAGTTAGAAATAAGTGCATAAGACTTTTGGAATTATTAAAAGCCATGTTTGTGGCTTAGAATAAAGCAGGGCCACATTTCCTAGATTTAATTTTCTGTTTCAATTGTACCTTGATTAAAAATACTCCTTTTCTTTAGTATTTCAATAATTATTTGTTCTTGTTGATGGCAACTTTGTCCTCCATCTGGATCTGCATAAATTTATCTACTCTGTATTTGTCTAGTGAAATAAATAGCTGCCTTGTTGCTTATTAAATCATTTTTGAAATCAAATAAATAAATTTAAGTATTTCTGGGAGAATGAAAAAGGTTGGTTTTATTTATGAATCAGAACCCAAGTAAATTGTGTTTTTGTTTTTGAAATAGCAAAAAGCCAGAGATAATAGGGCTGCTTTACGGATTAACAAAGTACAGATGTCCAATGATTCAATGAAGAGGCAGCAACAGCAGGATAACATTGATCCTGGATCTCGTATTGAAACTGATCTCTTCAAGGATCCATTAAAACAAAGAGAATCTGAACATGAGCAAGAATGGAAATTTAGGCAGGTGCGTTGCATTTGCTGCTTGCTTTTTGCTATTTGTCTAGCACAGCTGCATATTTTTACACTCCCCTTCAGTGGATATGGGCTGCCTAAATGTGATGTAGCTTTTGTATCATAAATAGAACTTTAAATAAATTGGAACAAATTCATGGAGAAATCTCATATCATACAAGGTTGAATTTATATTTCTGTCTTAAAGTGAAGCATTATAGGCAGAAGGAAATACTAAAATATATAATGTTTTTAGAAGTGATAGGTGTTAGGGGAATATGGCAGATTCTGAAAACACAGGCTAATTTAGAGATTAATAGACGCTATCTGAATTTATTTTATTTATTTGATTTGTCAATTGCTTACAAGATAATAGGTATAAGTATAAACATGAGTAAGAATACAGGAAATAGGTACGAATATGGAAATAGTTTATTTCCATATTGTTACGATTATAGATTGCAGTATTTCTAGTCTCTTCCATACTTGATGAGAACTGGGGGAGTCTACAGGATGCATCTCTTCAGGGGAGGGTTTTATTTTATTTTTACTGTATTGAATTCAAACTTCACAATAAGTTGAATGAAGATGAAGATGAACTTATGTTTTTTGGGGGTGTCAGGAAATATTGCATGTCCTGCAGTCATGTTTCAATCCAGTTTTTAAAAAAATCTTGCACTAAAAGCAAATTTGAATGGGAGATTCCAAAAAGTTTGAGTGGCTTCGATGAAACTTTAGATATGACTTGAAAGCATTTTTATAGTACTTGACTGTTATGTTCACTTTTAATAAGAACGTCTGATTTTCAAAAATGCATACTTTTAATAATTTCAGATATGACTTTATGAAAAAAAATAATGAAAACTTTGCCATTGGTTTCTGTGCTCTTAAGTGTGTCTGTATATGTGTATAAATAATATTTAAATATGTGTGGGGGTTTACTACTTCACTTTTATTTAATTTTAACTTTTTTTCTTCCTTTTCTGAAACAGCAAATGCGTCAAAAGAGTAAACAACAAGCTAAAATTGAAGCAACTCAGAAACTTGAGCAAGTGAAAAATGAGCAGCAGCAGCAGCAGCTGCAGCAGCAACAACTAGGATCACAACAGCTTGTAAACCAGTCAGGCTCAGATACCCCTAGCAGTGGGATGCAAAGTCCTTTAACCCCTCAGACTAGCAATGGAAATATGTCTCCTGCACAGCAAGCATTATATGCAAAACAGTTGCCTGGTCCTTCTACATCTACTTCTGATGTTTTCCTAAAACCCCAAGCCCCACCTCCACCTGCGACTGCTAATCGAATGCCTGCTCAAGATGGTCATTGTCAGACTCCATCACAACAAACATTCTCTTCTTCCCCCTCTGCTCAGCCACCTTCTCCCATTGACCCATATGCAAAAATGGTGGGAACTCCCAGGCCACCACCTGTGAACCAAAATCAAAAATTTGTCAGGAGAAATTCTGCTACATCAGCAGAGGTCTGCCCACTGCCTTCGATATCCAGGCCAACTCAAGTTTCTGAATCAATGGGAAGGAGGCCATCACCAGCCAGAGATTCGTGTTCTTTGTCCCCAGGCACCAATGATCCTTATGCAAAACCTCCAGATACACCAAGACCTGTAACTGGAACAGAGCAGTTCTCTAAACCTTTGGGGATATCAAGATCACCTTTAATTTCAGAACAACCGGCAAGCAGTGACCAATTTGCTAAGCCACCTCCAAGAACAGGAGGGGATACTTTTCAGAGACCACGTATCTCTTCTACTGATTCATGTTCAAGGCCTTCATTGACTTCAGCATCTGTTATTGAAGGGCATTCCAACCTGTTTAAAACCCCAGCGTGCCCAAATCCATCTTCTCAAGATTCTTACACAAAAATGCCACCTACTTTAAGGAGAGTAGCTATGGATCCTTACGAAAGGCCTCTTTTGACACCAAGGCCTGTAGACAGTTTTGCACACAATCCATCTAGTGATTCTTACAACCAATCTCAGTTGGCTTCACACTCAGCAATAAAGGATACTTTTGCCCATCCACAAAGAGTGTTGCGAAATCAGAGTGATTATTCTGGATCTCTTTCGAGGACAGTTGCTCAGGATCCATATGCCCACCCCCCCAGCACTCCTCGCCCTGTCACAGACCCTTATGCCCAGCCTCCTGGCACTCCTCGACCTGCTTCAGATCTTTATGCCCAGCCTCCTGGCTCCATTCGACCTGTTTCAGTTGACCCATATATGCATCAACCACTGGCATCAAGACCTCCACAGACTGCAGACTTATTTGCTCAGGTTTCAGCTAATCAGAGGCATTCTGATCTGTATGCCCAGCCTCCAGGTACACCAATACCAGTTACTAATGATCCATATTCTCAGTCACCAGCAACTCAAAGATCTGGAATTTCAGAAACTTTCAGTAGACCTATTACCATGTCAGATCGGGATCCTTATCTGCAGGCATCACAGAGCAGGACTTCATCTGGGACTTTTGTCAAGCCATCAGATCCTTCTCAGCCTTCAAAGCTACCAGGGTCTACAGTGACAGATTCTTTTAGCCATGATCCCTCACCTTGTGATCCTTTTGATCAGCCTCCAATGACTCCAAGATCTCAACCTGAAGCCTTTGGAACAGCTCAGCACCCTCAAGATGACCAAACTAGAAGTGGGTCAGAGGGAAATTTCAATTCCTCTGTAAATTCATCCATGAATTTGCAGGGAAAACTATTTTCACAGACTACACAAGGTTCTGTCCCAGGCCCAACTGCAGGACTAACCCAGAACAGCACAGTGTCTCATACAGATGGAGAAAAATTAAGACAGGTGAATTTATCTTGTTTGATATTATGCTGTTTCATATTGAGATGACAGTTGAAATATTGTAAGAATAACCTTTAGAAGCATAAGAGACTGCTTGTCTCAATAAATCACTTATTTACACAGCTGAATTACACAAACTGACTAATTTCTGGCTAATGTTGCCATATCTTTATTAAATACTTATTGTGTGAATGTTATCCAACATCTCTTCTTAACCAGAGTTGAGGGTAGAAATGAGCTATAAAATTGGTATATTTCCCCCACCATATATAGTTAGAATCAAGAAGCACATACTTATTTGTGTTAACTACTGTTCTTTTAAAGAAATGCTTCTTGGATCCAAGATCTATAAAAATCATTATTCAGTGCTTAAAACCCTTCCATTGGGCAGTAAGCTTAAGTGTAATCATGTAATTCAAAGCTAAATTAAATGAGACAAATTGAATAGGGCTATTTCAACCTAATTTCAAGCCTGTCTTAGTCTAGTGAATAATTGATTCTGTATAGACATGAGGATTGTGAAAATACTCATTCATTTTATCGTCATAATATTCTGGACTGGCTGTCTAGTCTTAGAAATTGAGGGCATTGTATTACAGCAGATCCTTTCTTAACTTCAGAATTTTATTGTAAACTGCCCAAAGTTACTGAGGTGAGATGGGCAGTGTAGAAATGTGACAGAGTTGGAGATTCTGAATGCCAAGAGGCTGATTTTAAGCCAGAGGATTAATGTTTTGAGTTTTTGCAAGTTTCTTTTTAAAGTCCATCTAAAACAGGGCTGTCAAACTCCCAGCCCATGGGCTGGATGCGTCACGTGCTGGCCACACCCACTCCCAGTTTAGCAAAGGGGAAAAAAGTCCTGATTCATCCCGTGATGACTTGAGTTTGACACTCCTGATCTAATGGATGAGTAAAGATGGATGAATGCAATTTTAAAATGAGCAAATGCTGGTAAAAAAGAAATGTGGTTTACTGGTAGGTGACCTACTGTAGGAACAATGTTTTATCAAAAGAAGCAAAATGTTTCTATGTGAACATTAGCTTATAATTTTTTCTGTTTCTTGTCAGCGCCAGAAGTTACGTGAAATTATTCTTCAGCAGCAGCAACAAAAGAAAAACGCAATCCGTCAAGAAAAAGCCCCAGCAGAGCCTGCTTCAGCAACTCCAACGGCATCTATTCAATCATGGCAGCAAGAAAATCTGAATAAAATTTTCACCCGACCACCACCTCCGTATCCTGGCAACATTAGATCATCCACCGTTCGTCCAGGTGGACTACGGCTGGCAGGTTTTCCTGTTGATGGGCAGTTGAATAGACCTCAATTTCCAGGAGATGCTGTTGGCATGGGGATGAGGCCTCATGCAATTAGGTATAGAAATAGTTTATCACACTTTACTAAATTTGGACTATTTATGAAAAAATTAAAGCATGTTTGTCATTCAGAATGACCGAGACAAATTTGCGTAAGTTCATTTTAATGCAGAAATTGTGTTATAGATATGATATATGATACTATATGATATACATCTTTCATGAAGGGGAGGAAATCGTAATTTTCAGCAACATACTTTTAAAAAAAATCTTCATTACTTTTAACAATCCCTTTAAATAGCATGTAGTTTAAAATAGTACCTGAACGTAACGTATGCAAACGTATTAAAAGTTGCATGCAGCTACTTAAAATTTAATTCATATTGTATTAAATATTCTTTTTATTTTGTAAAATAATGTAAAAAGCACAAAAATATTTAACTTCTGAGGCCATAACATTTTGACACCAGAATATATTATTTTTGTTTAAATTATAATTTTATAGTCTGTAAATTTAAAGTCCATAAATGTTTCCTTTCCATGTTATGTTTGGACGATACTATCCTTATATCAATTATATTAATTAGCCTGAAAATTAATTACAATTTTATTAATTGGCCTTAATTTACATTTTTTCTGCAATTTAATCAAGTTTAAAATAAGATATATTGCCTTTTTATCTTAGTATATTATTTTTTTACACTTTCTGTAGTTTTGTAAAATATGCATAATTTTTTTTACTGAATTATATACAGAGAGGGATCATCTATTTTTAATACTAAATGGATAATGTGAAAATAACACATTATCAGAGATGTCGTTAATTTTATTTATGTGAAAATTAGCTACACAGTTATTGTATGTAGTCATTATGGAGGAAATACTCTCCTCTGGGTCATCCAATTCAATAAAAACTTGTTTTTCTCTTTCCCAGATTTGGCTTTCCCAGTGGTGGCCATGGACTTCCACCTTGTCAAGATCATTTTCTTGGTCCATCACAACAAATGCAACATGTTGGTGTTGCACCACAGTTTAGAAGAACCATACCTATAGATCTGCCTAGACTGTCTAACCAACCACCAATGAATAATCCCATTGGTTTGTCACAGCATTTCCCACCACAAGGTATCCAGGTTCAACAGCACAACATAATGGGGCAGGCATTCATTGAGCTTTGTCATAGAGCACCTGAAGTCAGACCAAGGCTGTCTTTTATTTCTTCATCAACTACTATTGTGAACCCTGTTCCTGAGCATCAACAACAAACTGAGCTTCTACCTAGACAGAATTGTCAGGGCCCAAGGCACCTAGAACCCACAAGATGTAATTCTCAAAATTCAGATAATCCGTTGCAGAGTTCAACAGGTTTGGAACATTTAGCACCATCCCAGCAGGATAAAATGAATCCAGGTCACCCACCTTCGCTAGTCATGTGTTCCTTAAATCACCCATCAATAAATAATGCATTTTCAGGAGACTCTTTGCCAGCCACAAGACCTGATGAAACAAATAACTTACAAGTGCCCAGTCAGCCTACAGATACCTTAGGAGAGAAACTTGATCCTGATGATCCTTCTGTAAAAGATTTAGATGTTAAAGACCTTGATGGTGTTGAGGTTAAGGATTTGGTTGATGAAGATCTTGAAAATTTAAACTTAGATTCAGAAGATAAAGGTGATGAATTGGACACATTAGATAATCTTGAAACTAATGACCGTCATCTTGATGATCTTCTGAGATCAGGAGAATTTGACATAATTGCATATACTGACCCAGACCATGATTTGGGTGACAAAAAGGGTATGTTTAATGAAGAGCTGGATCTTAATGTGCCTATAGATGATATACAGGGCAAGGCAGAAGACAATCTGCAAAAACATTCAGATGATAAAACTTCTGTTCCTGAAGTGTCTGTTCCTCCCCAGAAAAAAGCTACTGAGAACAGAGAGACTAAAACAGAAGTGCTTTCTCCAATTGAAGAAGCTACTTGTAACCACGAAAAGATTGACAAGAATGTGGCAGCTTCTAGTGCTCAGCATGATGGAGAAACTAAATCTGTTTTGCCTTGTCATGTGGAAGCAACTGATAAAGCAAGTATGAATGAGGAAACCACCGTGTCCAGTTCAGATGCCATTCTGTTACCTACTCAAAATACAACAAATTCTTCTACTCCTGGATCTACACCAGTTCTTACAAGCCTACTTACTCATAGCAATTCAGAAAACCCTGACACAAGGTTATTAGATTCTCCTTCTCACTCTTTCCGGACAACCCAAACAAATCCCATTTCCAGTATTCCACAAACGTTGATTACATCCACAAGTCAAAACATGGAAAATGTGTTATCGGATGTGAACATGGCTATACCAGTAGGCCATAGTTTGTCACAAGGGACTGCGGTAAATCCAGGCTTTATCTCTGGCCAGCCCCTCAATTCCAGTTTGGGGGTAGGGCAGCCTGGAAGTCAAACAGGGCCTGTTGTAAATAGGCCTGCTCCTGGTGGTATTCCCGGTTCTCAGCAGCTGGTGCTTTCTCAGGCATTGGTCCAACAGCAGAATCGAGAGAGACCTCTGCTTTTGGAAGAGCAGCCTCTGTTGCTGCAAGATCTTTTGGATCAAGAAAGACAAGAGCAGCAACAGCAACGGCAGATGCAAGCCATGATTCGCCAGCGGTCTGAGCCATTTTTCCCTAACATTGGTATGCTTTTGTTATTTTTCCAACCATGGTAATGTTGGCTGGGTATGTGTACTAACCAGATGGAGCAAATAAATTTCATTCTCAGTTATCATGAAGGTTAACTCATCTCCATTCCTATATTTTATTTCCAACCTTCCAGGGGAATGTGTAGATTTGTTAACGCACTTTGGATCATTGAATAGCTTTTGTATTCAGGGATCTTTCTGTAGATATGTATTCATATAGTTGATTGATGGCATTGAATTTATTTCCTGCAGCTCATTAGGTTCTAGGTATAATTAAAAACAAGAGGTTCTAGGTGGAAAAACAGTAAAATGATTAAAGCAAACATTAACACCATTACCATGAAAACTAAAAATTAGAGTAAGCCAGCAATTTCAGTCCCCAGAAGTATAACAAACCATTTTTGTTGCCTTTCTAAAAGCTGAATATAGAGACAAAATCTGGATACAGATAGTCCTTGCCTCATGACCATAGTTGAGCCCAAAATTTCCATTACCAAGCAAGGCAGTTGTTAAGTGAATTTTGCCCCATTTTACAACCTTTCTTGCCACAATTGTTGATCATTGTAAATTGACTAACATGATTGTTAAGTGAATCTGGCTTCCCCTTATCAGAAGGCTTCAAAAGGGGATCAAGTGGCCCCAGGATATTGCAACAGTCTTTTAAATGCCAAGAGTCCAAATTTTTATCATGGAAATGCTGACGGCCTAAGTGAAAAACAGTCATAAGTCACATTTTTTCAATACTGTTGTAACTGAATTATTAGGAAACTGATTGTTGTAAGTTGAGGACTTCCTGTATTAATTTTTCATAGTCTATTAATTTTTTTGGCTCATGCAAAGATTTGATTGCTTTTGTTCTTCCATTGATTTATACAATATAGTACGATATATACTTTGATGCAAATAGAAACGTAAATTTGACAAAATAAGAACTGGGAACATTCTCGAAAACAAATTTCATTTAATTCCTGGCACTAACTCAGTGCAGGCATTAAGAGAAACTGACAGTTTAGCGTTTCTGCTTCTGCCAAAATATTTATCTGAATCACCAGTTGGCTAGCAAATTTTAGTCTAAGCAGGTCATGTAAACTTTAAGTTTAAAATGATTCTAAAATGATTGTTGGTAGCTTTAGTTTGTGATCTGAAACAAATTCAATATATCCATGGAAACAGTTTTTCAAATACAAACTTTTTTTCTTAAAGCAACAGTATTGAATTGATTAGCAGATATAAATATAAAAAGGCTACAGTATACTTTGTAAACATAATATATTCTAACATTCTCTTTTCTTAGATTTTGATGCAATTACTGATCCTATAATGAAGGCAAAAATGGTAGCCCTGAAAGGGATCAATAAAGTTATGGCACAAAACAATATGGGGATGCCACCATTGGTCATGAACAGGTTCGTGAAAAATGATGCTTTTGCCTAAAGTGATGTAGTATTGTTAGATACTAATTTGGAAGTGCAGCTCTTCTTCTTAATTATAAGTTTGGATCTAACTTGCTTGCAGACATATTAATGAATTTATACAATTCTATCATTAAATAAGTTATTTCCTTTTTATTTCTGTTCTGCATGATGGATGGATGGATGGAAGGAAGGAAGGATCTTAAAATAATGATAGGTACAGATGAGATAATATAGCTGATTTATATTATGATAGAATTGTTTGAGATTATGATCTCATCTTTAATGCAAGTTGCATAACAAACAAACCAAATTGGTATTTTACTTATTACTAGATTTACCTTTATGGGTCAGACAGGACCTGGAGCCCAGAGCAGTGAAGGCCAGCATCTAATACCACAAGCAGTTACACAGGTAATTCAGTTTGTCCTGAAATCTGCAGTAACTCAGTTCAAAATAATAATTTTTAAGGGCAGTGTGTTTAGTGGTTAAAGTAAGAATCAAATCCCCAGTGTTCTTGTACAGTACTTTATGGAAGGGTTTGGCTGAATCTGAAATGCTGCCTTTCCCTGTCTTACAGATGATTGTTATTGTTGCTTCTGATTGCAGTAATAATGGTTTTATTTTTTGGGGAAAGGGTTAAAAATGGAGAGAGATAGCTGATTCATATGTGAGGCATTGTACTTTTAGTACTGGAGGCAGAATCATGCACACAACCTATGTGCATAATGCAGTGTTTCTCAACCTTGGGGATTTTAAATTATGTTCCAGCCAGCATGGGGCATTCTGGAAGTTGAAGTCCACATATCTTAAAGGTTGAAGAACACTGACATAATCTGACTTCTGGGCTGGAAAAATCTCCATGCCTTTCTTAAATCATCTCAAGAAATTTTCTTTTTCTTTTTCTTTGAAGGATGGTAGCTTAACACCTCAGATGTCTAGACCAAATCCTCCCAATTTTGGTCCTGGATTTGTAAGTAAGTATAACCCTGTTTATGTGCTATGTTCTTGGGGCATGATTTCTAAACGCCATAAACATAATTTACAAAAATAATACAACATCTAAAATACAGTTTTATTGAACTGTATTTTGAATTTCACTGAGTAACTTTCATTATTAATGAGTAATTAGATTTTCATTCATGTGTTCAATTTTTATAGACTTAATATGTTTTTGTATAAGTGTGTTCAGCCTTATCGCTGACTTTAAAAAAAAGGAATAGACCATTGGCTAGGTTAAGAGAAATATGACCTTTTAGGGCCTTAAAAAAGCTATGTTGGCATTTCTTTAAAATATTTTATATTTTTTCCATTGTTTTAAAACATACTTTGAAAAGAAAGTATGTTTGAGGCAAAGTATTAATACAGGTGGTCCTTATTGGCCAGTAAATTAGTGACTGAAATTCTGATGGCCACCCCTAACCTGTGGTCACATGAGGGCATTTTGGGCAGTTAGCTAGCATTTAAATTATTTGCAGGATCCCATGGTCACATGACCACAACTTATGATGTTTTTGGCTGGAAATTGGTTTATTTCTGGTTTCCATCAAAAACAGCCAATTGAAAACAATGGGGTCGCTTATCGACTGCAGCATTCACTTTACAACTTCCACATTCATTTAATGACTATTGCAAAAAAAAAACCATAAAATCAGGCCAGTCACATGATCACCTGTTAATGACCTGCTCAGTTTATGACAATGGTTCCAGGCTCAATTATGGTGAAACTACCTATGTTATGTTGAACATAAAACAGATTGAGAGAGAGAGCAACTGCAGATCTTTTCTGTAGCTTGCTTGAAAACATGTTTTATGGAGGCTAGTAATAGCCTGAGCATCAGTGGAGGAATTCTTCGTAGTAACAACATGGCCCAAAGCAAAAATAAAAATGTCCCTTTAGCACTTGAATCTTTAGAAGGAACATGGCCTTTGTTGTCTTTTAACCCCAGATGATTCATATAGAAAGCAATATGAGGAATGGCTACAGGAAACCCAGCAGCTTCTCCAAATGCAGCAGAAGTATCTCGAAGAGCAGATTGGAGCACACAGGAAATCAAAGAAGGCCCTCTCTGCAAAACAGCGCACAGCCAAGAAAGCTGGACGTGAGTTCCCAGAGGAGGAGGCAGAGCAGCTGAAACATGTCACCGAGCAGCAGAGCATGGTGCAAAAACAGCTTGAACAGGTAATGCGATTCATAATAAAGTCTCGCGATAATGAACTTCCCTGTGGGGGAAAATAGGAGAAGGACGGAGGATTGTGTGTGTTTCTTTCTTTCAGTTATTTATAAAAAACAATAAAGGCGGGGTAAAGATGATTAAAAAATTACATTAGAATTAAATAAGGACTGAATTTTGCAGATACGAAAGCAGCAAAAAGAGCATGCAGAGCTGATTGAAGAATACCGGATAAAACAGCAGCAGTCTGGAATGGGACCCCATTCAGGGATGCCAGGCCTTGCTTCGCAGCCCCCCATCATCCCTGGAGGGTCATCGCCTGCCATGGGCCAGCAGAATTTCCCCAGGATATCCCAGCAGCTTCAGCATCCACAGCACACCGCTGGCCAACCCAACCCACCTAGAATACCAGGCTTGCCCAGCTGGCAACCTCCAAACACTCCAGTACTTTTCTCCCACAGTGCACCACGGATGCCACCTCCGATCCCTCAGCTGCCCGTTAATCCTGGGACACCTGCTTCAGTGTTAGCCCCCAGCCCCAGTGTGCAGTCGGGCCCCCCACCCCGGGTGGAGTTTGAAGACAACAACCCATTTAGCGAAAGCTTCCAGGAACGAGAGAGAAAAGAGCGTTTGCGGGAGCAGCAGGAAAGGCAGCGAATCCAGCTTATGCAGGAAGTGGATCGACAGAGAGCACTGCAACAGAGGATAGAAATGGAGCAGCATGGCACAGTGGGCTCCGAATTAAATGCTAGAACATCCTTCCCTCAAATATCTTACCTCGGTTCGGACCGACCTTGTGATTTTATGAGGCCACCACAGCCTCTTCAGCAGTCTCCCCAGCAACCGCTGCTACCACCACCACCGCCGCAGCAGCAGCAGCAAGGATCAATTTTGCAATCAGGACCCTTAAACTCTCCTCCCACTGCCACTTTTCCACCATGCAGCGAGCAGCAGCAGGCGGGATCTTCCCCTTTTTCATCTGATCCAGTCCCTGTTCAAGATGGAAGCTCTGCTTACCATTCTGCTAAGCAGTCCCACGGAAGTATTTCTGGAGTCAGCTTTACCCAGTCCTTGCCTAGGCCTCACTTTGCCACTGGTGTTCCTGCAGTTTCTCCAGGAACTAGCAGTGGTCTGGCCGGTGGTCAGGACTCCAGCCTGCCACCTGGAACAAACTTTGCTGGGACAAATCCAGCAAATCAGTCTCTGATTCAACTGTATTCTGATATCATCCCTGAGGAGAAAGGCAAAAAGAAAAGAACAAGAAAGAAGAAAAAAGAGGATGACACTGACTCTGTGAATACACCCTCAACGCCTCATTCGGATATAACTGCTCCTCCAACTCCAGTTATTGTGGATGCGGTGTCCGCTCCTGCTCTTAGCACCCCTGGTGAGCTTGCACGCAACTTGGGAGAAACGGAGAAAGAAGAACTGCCAAATTCAGCAACACCAAGCGCTGCAGAGGGTCCGTCTTCCCTAGAGCTGAAAGCTCAACCCGCTGAAAGCAATTTGCCACAAAACCAACTCCCCGAACAGTCGAGTCTAAACCCCAAAGGGGACACAACCAAGACTGATATTTCTGCAAGCCTTCAAGAAATTAGACCAGAAAAGGTAGAAGCTGATCAGTGCTCCAGTCAAGCTGAGTGTAAGACGAAGACTGAAGTTGACCTGGAAGATGATAAAGCTGACGTTCAGCTTTCCCCTCCTGCAGAGAATCTGGCACCACCTGTCAACACAACACCTACAAAAGTGGAGTCAGGGAACGAACTCCTGAAACACCTGCTTAAGAACAAAACAGCCACCGGTCACATCAGTCAGAAATCAGATAACAGCTTCCACTTTCCAGAGAATGCTGAGGAGAACAAATTAATCGAAAAACAGGAATTGGCTGAAAGCAGCATGGTAAATATTTTTTATAATAACAGATTGACTTTCAGGACATTAGAAAATATGTTAGGAAGTACTTTGTTCATATCCACAACCATTTGTTGCTGGGTAACGGATATCTCTTACTCAGCAATTTAGATTGATTTTTACCACAGCTTTGCCATTTTTTGCCAGTCTTTGTTTAATGTCTGCCCTGTTTAATGGCCATTTGAATTACAACAGCACTGAAAAGTAATTTTATGAACAGTCCTCACATTTATGACCATTACAGCATCCCATGGTCCTATAACACTTCCATGCTTCATAATTGGCTTCTGGCAAGCAGAGTCAATGGAGAAGCCAGAAGTAAAATCAATAGTGATGGTCACAGGATGACTTAACCATCAAATGGAAAGTAATATCATAAATCCATCATGGTTGCGTGACGTCTCAATTAGTGACCATGTTGCTCAACACCTGAGTTTTCAGCCACAATTGGGGTTGCTGAGTGAGGACTATCTGCATTTGATAAAACAGGTGCTTTTCTCCCCAACTTTCCGATGTCTCTGGCCAATGGGAAAACATCTTCCAATCATGACAGTAATGGGGAAAGACTTGTGCTATTTGCTGTGACTTCTGAGCCTCAGCCTCAATCCAACTCGGATTCTTTTGTGAAAGGGGTTGTTGATTCTCTTCCTTTCAATTTTTACGGCTGGTTTTGAATTTGGTTAAGAGAAATTAGGATGCAGTTAAACTATATGTCCATCGATATTTATCTTTGTGATCATATCATTAGGTGATCTGGGTGGAAGGTAGGTAGGTAGTTTCACTGTAAAATTCAGTGTTCAGTTTATGAAGTCTGAGTTTTGAACATTTAGGACTTAATAAAAGTGATATGATATGCTATATTTGCTTTTTCCTTAACCAGCCATTAGGGAATCCATTGCAAGGCTCATTAAGTTGTGGTAACAACCAAGTTCAGAGAGCAGATTTAGGACATGAAATGAAGAAACAGAGGAACAAGCGAACTCAGAGAACAGGTGAAAAAGCAACATCTCGCCCTAAAAGGAAAAAAAAAGAGGAAGAAGAAAAACAGACTGTTTTTCCTAGCACAGAAACTTTCATGCAGTTGAAACAGGTGAGCACTGAAAAGAATAATCCATAATGAAAAGTTTTGGAAGAGATTGAAAAAAGCCATTGAAAATTTCATCTTATATTTGGTTTTATAGGTATCTGTGTTTTATTTTTACCATGTTTCCTTATTCAAAGCTGTTATACATGTAGTAATACAGGTTTGAGCATTTCTAAGTTTTATTTGATACTTACCCACTTCTTGCATTTATTATAAAATGTTCCAGAAGATAGTTTTCTCCTTTGTGAGCCTTCTAATAGACCACTTTTTATTGGATTGCTTGATTGCATGCCATCATGTAATCAAGTTGATGTTGACTCTAAATAATCAAGAGATGGAAGTCCAAAGGTGCTTTTTTCAAGAGTAAACTGGACTTCCTTTGTTTTTCCTTGAAGACATTTCACCTCATTCAAAAACATGTTTAGTTCTGAAACAATGGTGTTTCTTGGATGAGAAGCGAAATGTTTTGAAGGAAAACAAAGAAAGTCCAGTTGCCTCTTGAAAAAGCACCTTTGGGACAACAATGACCTGGATGCCTGAGAATCTTCATAGACACAGAGGTAGAATTTCTTCAGGATGATCTGCTCCTATCCGGGCCCATCATTTCTTCTAGTGGTGCATTCAGTCACTGCTGTAATAAAAGTCCTTGCTGCTGAGATATATGACACAAAGAAGAAATGGAATAAAGAATATATTGGTGAAGAAAAACGTTTGTTGGGAGAAAAGATTAAAAGATCATTATTATAAAAAGATTATTATAAAGAGATCATTATTGTTAAATTTTTACATCAGCAGCTATGAAACTCTTGATAATTTAGAACAAAACTGCAGTCTGGAGATGAGTCTTGATAGAATGGTTATGATGACGATGATGAAGAAAGGATTTTCATTAGATACACTTTCATTGAGAACAATTTTCTATATCCTGAACATATGGTATTAAGACCAAGGCTTCCACAACAATTGCTGTATTTGGGAGTCATTATATCTGGCAAAATTATTTTTTAAGAACAATGTATAAAAGTTAGGATTTTGCTTAGTATAAGGAAACTTTGAAATGCTTGTATCTGGATTGCTTAAGCTTATAAAAGTAGCAATCTTCAGTTGTGATCAATTACACATCTTTCCTCTAGCAACTCTCCTTGCTGCCTTTAATGGAGCCAATGATTGGAGCGAGCTTCACCCACTTTCTCCCGTATGGTAGCAGCCATCAAAGTAGTGGAAGTCGACTTGTGGGAGCTTTTGGCAGTGCTACGCTTGATGGGGTATCTGATTACTATTCTCAGCTAATCTACAAGGTGTATTATTTTTCTATGTAATTCTCTCAAAATTTTAAAAGAAAAGTGGCATTCATAATTTTATATATCTCAGGATTTCTTGAGATTTTTCCTCATGTTTTTCATTCTTCCTTCCCATTCACTGAAAAATTGTGGCATGCTAAAGCCTATACTTAGAGAGCCAGTTTTCTCTAGTGGTTGAAGCACCAGGCTAGAAATCAGGAGATTATGAATGCTAGCACCGTTTTAGGCATGAAAGCCGGCTGGGCGATTTTGGGCCAGTGGCCAGGAGATAGTGAATCCCATCTTTAGGCATAAAAGCTTTCTGTGACTTTGAGCCATTCATTTTCTCTCAGCCTACAATGTCAGGCTCTGACAACATTTGGTCAATTTTGGATCAATGTTTGATTGATCCAAAAAAGTGGGTCCTGCACTTGCAAGGAAAATGTTAGAGGGGAAAAATGAAAACCTATAACAATAATCTTTTAATGTGTTTCAAGCACATGGAATCCACCCTGGATTACTATTTCAAAGACCAAATACTATTAAATAAAAAGTTTAGGTCTATTTTGCATAGATTTAAGAGACCATCACAAGGCCCTTCCATAATTGTTTCTCCTTTTAGTGGTCAGCAAGGAGTAATTGGTGACTGGGAGATTTTCCCAGAATCTATTGTTTTGCCCCTTAGAGAAATCAGCAAAACTAGTCTAGTCTTCAAGGGCTTTTGGAAATTGAGTTGAAAGTTGATGTTACTCTTGTTCCCATGATGGCTGTTGTTTTTATTCTTCTATTTGTTACTGGTTAATTTACACAGTGCTTTTAGAGATATCGAAGCCACTTTACCCCATGATAGGATATGAAAACCCTAACTAAAAAATAAAAATAAAGGTGGCAGCATTGCCTGAATGTCCCACTGATCACAGAATTGACTATTGCAGATGGAATAAGCCTCAATACGTGCTGAATGTGCTATAAAGACTGTAGGAAATGAGATGAAAATCGTAGTTCTTTCCCAACTGTGAATTGCATTCATTTCACATTGTGTTTTCTGTATTCCCACAACCGTGCAGATGAAATCTCTCAGTAAACATCGCCTTCCGTGTGTTCTTCCACTGGCTGACAATTCCTCCATTTTAGTTACAATTCCTCCTTTCTTTCTAGAGCATCTTACAGCCAGTGAGACATGTCAGGCAGGTGAAGATCAGGGTGGCAGCCCTTCACAATGATCTCAGTTTCTCATGTCACCCTGAGGGAAAATTAATTGCCACCCCTGTTCTAGAGTATGCATCGTGACCCTTGTTCTAAGGAGGCTTTTGCTTTGCTCCTGCGTGCTTGTCTGAGGGGTTTGTGCCATTGATAAAAGAATCAACCAATGTGAGAGAGTGTTACTTACCCTACAGTTGAGTATGTTTTTTAAAAATTTGTTCATTAGATACAACTTATAGAGAGAAACTAACAAAAAAAGCCACATGAAAAGAGGGGTGAACCCAGCAAAATAGAATTGTCCAAAATGGCATATGTGAAAACTTTAAACAAATATCTGCCATTGTAGTTCTAGGTTAGTTTTTTAAAAAGTATTTTTTATGTATGCCTATTAACTCACTTGCACAAAGCTTCACTTTCATCAGTGCCCTGTTAGCAGAAAATTACTTAAAAATCTGGAATAAAATGCTTTCTTCCCTCGTTCTTAGTAGGAACTGGAGTGCCAGTTCTCAAAAACAATACGATTGATTTCTTGCCTTATTTGATATATGCTCTTGATTACCTGATGCAGAGTGGCAAACAGAACATGGAAATTATTTGTATTTGTCCTACAAGTAGTGCCGGTCATAATTTGTGTGTTTGGTGAGTAATTATAAGAAAACTCAAAAAAATAGTTACTTTACTATGCCTAGTAACTATTAATAGTTACTAGTTACAGAGTGGAAAATAGAAAATGAAAGCCCTGTTACCTTGTTTGGATAGCACTGAAACCATGGCTTGGTGTTTGGTATGAACTAAGTTAATATGTATGCACTTTGATTGCTACTTCGTAGTTAGTTTTGTTATTAAATATGCAGGTTTACCCAACAATCCTTTGGAAAACCAATTGAAAATATCTTCTCTTGTGCAGCAAAATAATCTCAGTAACCCACCCACACCTCCAGCATCCCTTCCTCCTACACCTCCACCTGTGACTTGCCAAAAAATTGTTAATGGATTTGCAATGACTGAAGAACTTGGTACCAAAGCTGGAATGTTGGGAGGATCTGATGGTAAGATATTTGCTATCCACATCCCTTTGTAGAAAGTCTGCCTATGTGATTGCTAAAAGTCAGCAATGACTTGAAGGCAATAATCAATAAAACCAGACTTGTATAATATACCTGTTATATTCACTCAACTAATTTTAAAAATGGAAGACCTCCATCTTGGAAGCCCCAAAAGCCAGGACTAATCTATCTTTCAGGGGAAAACTGTTTCATAGATATGGACCCCATCATGGAATATTTCCCAGCTTTGGTTTCCTGATTTTCTGGCGAAACTATGATTAAGAGAAAATGAGGAACAATATGCTTTTTTCCCTAAGATATTCTTATTTGATTCTTGTAGGTTTCAACCAAGCAAGATTCATAATGTGTCTTGCAAGACAAATAGGACAAGGTTAATGTATCTCATTCTTCTCTGCCCTTTTCCTCTGCTTCAGCCACCCACTGATCAACCCATCCCCTTCACTTCCCTTTCCTCCAGTGCAACATCCATAATTAAATTCGGATACAGCACAGTCCAGGCTAGAAATCAGAAGACTGTAAGTTCTAGTCCCATCTTAGGCATGAAAGCCGACTGGATGACTTTGAGCTAGTCACTTACTCTTAGCCCAATCCACCTCACAGGGTGGTTGTTGCGGGGAAAATAGGAGGAGGAAGGAATATTAGGTATGTGCGCTGCCTTGTATTGTTTATAAAAATAATAAAGATAGGGTAGTAAAATAAATGAATGAATATAAATATTCCAACTGGTCCAGGCTGGCTTACCCTTCCTTTTAGTTGCCCCAAGCATCTTCCTTGTTTCACCTTTCCCCGTCTTTGCTGCCTTTACCTTTTCCCTCCTGTAAACCTACCCTGGAATTTCTATGCCTTTTCCAAACACGCAATCAAATTCAGGCAAAAGATTCATATTTTGGCCCAAGTATGACCTACCCCAAATCTGGAATACCCTACACATAGAATATGTTGGATGTTACTAAACGTTAGCAAAACATTCTCTGGCTCCTCAGAGGTGCATGTAAAGCTTTCATTAGTCCAGTCCAGCCAGGTAGCTGTTTAAAATCATTTGTTTAATCTGTGCATCCTATCTGTTGCCAAAGCTTTAGGTTCAAAGCAGTTTCAGCTGCCTTTCAGGCCACAGGATGATTTGTTAGCCAGGGCCATAATTCAGGGTCCTAAGAGTGTGGATGTCCCTGCTTCTCTTCCAACCCCGCCTCATAACAATCATGAAGAGCTCAGGTAGGTGTCTTTTTTTAAAGGCATTAACATTGTATTGTGCTTAATATGCTCATGTGTTCTGATACTGAGCAGAATCTGCTGTCCCATAATGGTATTTTTGCTATTAAGTTCTTTGATCTATAAATGAAAGGAATATCTGTAATTTATGTCTCAACAAGCCTCCCCAAAGACAGCACAATTTATGAATTTCCAAGGGCTTCAGGCTAGTCCAGCCGATCGTTTTTATACTTCATCCATGCAATGTAGTTTTCAGCATTCAGAATGGTTTTTTGTCTTGATCCATTTCTCCCATTTTTAAAAAAATTAGAATTAGACTCTGTTCTGTCATTGAATGAGCTTTTATCTGCTGAAAAAGGAAAATGCAAGTTTCTGGGACCAGATTACAAAGCTAGTGTTGTCTAGGCCAGCAGTCCCCAAACTTTCTAGCTTGGCGGCCTCGTTTAGGAGGAGGAGAGCATGTGAGTGGCAGGCACACACACCCTCCACTCAGGCAAATGCAGACTCATGCGCAAATGGCAGGCAAAGCTTCAACTGCGTGAGCAGAGGGCAGTTGAATGGAGGGTGCTTGTGCTTGCATGCAAAGCTCCACTCTTGCAAGCATCAGGCACTTGCACCCACCTGCAAGCAGAAGATGCTTGAGTGGAGGGCACTTGTGCTCGCGTGCAAAGCTCCACTCACAAGGGCACTTCACACACGAGCAGAGCATTGCACACAAGCATTAGTGTCTTCCACTCCCATACAAAGTGGAGCTTCGCGCACTTGCCCATGTCTCCTGTGGCCCGGTTTCGAACAGGCCGTGGCCCAGTAGTGGGCTCTGGCCCGAGGGTTGGGGACCCCTGGTCTAGTCGGGGAACTGAGTCTGAGGGTTAAAAATAATGAATATCAGGGAGATAATAGCTTGTGTGGGAAGAGATTGAGATCTTATTCTTGAAATTCTCTTTATTTTGTTTTCCACATAAATTACTTGTAATCACAAGATTGTACAATCATTGGAGGATTAAAAATTAACAGCTAATGTAAGTGAGCGTCCTTATCAATAGATAATGTACTGTAGTTTTTTTTGGTTTTTTTACATCACACTTCTTTTTGCACTCTTAGCATATTTTGGCTGTAAAAAAAAAAAAACCCGAACAAATTTGATTTTGAAAAAAATGGAAAGGCCTCCACTTTGCTGTCCAGTTCCTGAATCACATGTTTGCTCTTTGTATAGTGAGCCATGCTTACAAATGTCCTGGTTTTGCTGTGTGTCTTAGGATTCAGGATCCTTGTGAGGATAGAGAAAGTCCAGATAGCTTTGTTCCTTCTTCTTCTCCTGAGAGCATCATGGGCATGGAAATAAGTAGGTATCCAGATCTGTCAGAAGTAAAAGAAGAGATGCCACAGTCCGTTTCGTCTCCTGTCATTCCAATTCTGCCAGCCAGTGCTGGAAAGGGTAAAGCCAACATTTATTCTAAACAAATATATATTGATTTCTCTAACGAGTGGTGAGATGAGTAAGACTTCAGTTTTCAGAATTCCCTAGCTAGCATGGCTGTCTGAGGAGTTCTGGGAGTCGAAGCCCACGCTTCTTAAAGTTGTTGAGGTTTGGGAACATTGCAGTCTAACCGCATTCCAATGTGACTTAAAGTTCAATTTCTTCACTTTAAGGTTCAGAAGCAAAGCAACATTTCATCAAAATGGAGCCTTGTTCAACTTTCTTCAGTTCTCAGCTTGGACTTGCCCCAAATAACACAGAATCCGGGCTTGTGTCCATTGCCATTACTTTGCATCCTACAGCTGCAGAGGTAAAGGTACCACACCTCTAGATGGACAAAGTTGGGTGCCATCCTCGTGTGCTATTGATGTCTTGGTTGATAATTTTATTTCTACTGCAGTCAGTTATTGAACTAGATGCTGCTATGCAATTTCAGTATGGTTTTATTGAATTGTATATAATCGACTCATAAAAGCTCAGCTCAATAGCTTTGCTATATTCTGGATAAGAACATTATCCTATTGGCCATTCAATTTCCAGCTCCTCTCCTAATCATTCCAATTTTGTAATTAGCTTCTTTTACTGGGTTTTCATTCAAGCTATCCACCAAAATCCCTTTCTTCGGTAGACACCTGATCATTACAGATCCGATTAATTTAAAGTTAGGATTTTGTGGAATAAAATGCATTATTTTATACATTCTTGTCCTGAATTGCATTTGCCAATTTGTTACCCCTCTGACCAGTTTGATTTTACCACTCTGAATAATTTGGTATGATCAGTAAAGGTGGCTGCTTATTGCTTAGCCTAACCCTGGATCATATATTCCTAAAATCTTTTCTGATTCAGAATCACTTGTCAGTATATGGGGGTGGTGATTCTCCCTTTCAACAGAGTTTGCTCGTAATCCTTTAATTTGGTATTTATGGGAGGATTTTTTAAAAATTCCAAGCATATAATATTTATCCGGCTTGTGTTATGACAAATTAGTGTTGTGGCAGTTGTAGAGTCCCCATAGTCACATGATCATTTGTGACCTTCACTGACACCTTCTAATGAAGCCAGCAGGAAGTTGCAAAAGGTAATCATGTGATCGTGGGATGCTGTGACACAACAGGGATAACTGGGACTGCCAGAATGTCCATTGTGATGTGACATTGTGCCTGATGATCACCTAGCTAAGTGATGGGAGTTTCTAGTCCCAATTACAGTTGATAAGTAAGGACTATGTGCGTCTTATTAACCACAAAGAAACTATGCACTTATTTTTCTCTACTCTAGAATATTGGTAGTGTGGTGGCTGCGTTTTCCAATCTTCTACATGTCAGAATTCCAAACAGCTATGAAATTAGCACTGCATCGGATGTTCCGTCATCCATCGGAATAATGAATCCACACAGAACAAACCCAGCATTTGAGTACAGACAACATGTGCTGTTTCATGGTCCTCAGCCAGGGACCTTCGGCCCTCCTGGACTAACGGGGCCTTATGGACTCAAGCCACACAATGCCCCATTTTTATCAAGCGGAAATGGTGAGTCAGTGTGGTGTGTGACCTGCTATATATTTTGTTAATAAATAAGAGGTTAAACTCAGCATTGAAGATTTGAAAAACGGATTTCAAGATAAAAAATAAATATTACTTTTAAATTTTTTTGCCAGTTATATAAATTGAATTCTGCTAAAAGATTTGTAGGATTGGGTATTATTCTGCTTCCAAGGGAACTAATGCGATATCAGTCATGAATCATGATGGTTCCAAACTGCTACAGAAGGTACTGAAAAAAATAAACACCAAGAAGGACAACAATGTATAGATAGGTAGTCCTCAGCTTAGAGCCTTTTGCTTAGTGGCCATTCAAAATTACAAAGGCACTGAAAAAAATGACTTTGGGGGTCATGGGATCCCCTTCTGCAGCCTTCTGACAAGCAAAGTGAATGGGGAAGCCAGATTCGCTTAACCATGTTGCTAATTTAACAGCTGCAGTGATTCACTTAACAACTGTGGCAAGAAATGTCATAAAATGGAGTAAATCTCATTTAACAACTGTCTCATTTTGCAACAAAAATTGGCTCAGTTATGGTCGTAAGTCGAAGGCTAACTGTAAACTAGATAGGATGGGATGTTGCATTAAGGAATGGTTATTAACTGATATGGAATCCCTGAGGATTCCCCACACTCAATCTGGTAGAGGAGCCATGCTCCAAATCCCCTCAGCTAAGGAAGTGGTGGAATATAGGAAAAGATCCTTTTCTGCCATGGCGTTTAACCTTTGAAACATTATTCCCCTTGAAGTGAAATCTACTTAACCTCCTCCCCCGGCCTTCTGAAAGGATCTGAAGACCTATTTCTGTCAACTAGCTCGGCACCCTAATAGGGCATCTTATGGTTTACTTGGTGTTTTAACTTTGCTGTCTTTTGATGTTTTCACTGTTTTATATCACTATTTATAACATTGTGAGCTGTCCAGAGTCTCTTGATAGTGAGATGGGTGGCATATAAATTTAATTAATTTTGTGGTAATGGAGCAGGTATTTGTAAGGATAAGAATATTTACAGTAGAATGATGCATACATTAAAAGAATTTGTATTCTTCTCATCTTCAGTTTTGGCAGGCTATAAAGCACAAAGTCCAAATGTTGTCGATGGTTCGGCATTAAGGTCACAGTGGTGTTCTCATTGTAAAGTGGTAGTACTGGGCAGCGGAGTACGAAAACCTTTCAAAGAACTGCATTTCCTGAAACAGGTATATCTGTATGACCTCCATTTTTAATTATGTTTTCCCTTATAGTATTAAGGATACAAGAAGTTTGGGACTATTCCATTTCTTGTTGACTATGTTCCAACAGATAAAATTTAAAATTAGTTGAATGCTGCCTATTTTACCTAAATAAAATTTGAAATGTATCAGATATTCCAGGGATAGGTCACAACAAAGAAACAAAGCAAGCTCCTTGTTTTTTAATCCAAGGCCATAAAATCACGTGCAGGGGGGAAAGCCATGTTAACTGCTGGCCACTGACCAAACTGCATTGATATTGACTAAGAGGATTGTTTTCAAAACGTTTTTCAAGAACTTATAGGAAAGAAGTCTTATTGTTTTTTGTGTACCCAACTTCTTCTTTCTGTTTGTAAGCTATACGTCTGCAAAAGAAGGCACTACATAGCCTCTGACCACTAACTTTAATAAAACCATTGCTATGCCCAGGATTTTACTACAATGTATGTTACCTTATCTGGTCTAAGGCAACAGCAGTAAAAACGTGATGAAGCCCAGCTGCATTAATACTTATTTTGGAAGGGAAAGCAAGGGGAAAACAGTTCAGTGATAATCCACAAAATAAAGTGCATTTCAGGGCTTAAAATATTTCAGACCGTTCAAGATAATGCTGTCTTTTTGATCAGGTACAGAAGGATGAGAATGTCCATTCTGAGCTCAGAAAATTTTACACACCCGATATGTTACTAGTGAAATCCTTAAGAATGGTAGAGTTGAATGTTTTTCCAGTCCAACATAAAAGAAATCTCTCAAAATCATGTTTTAATATAAGCTTCCTACAGTTAATTAAAAGCTTAATGTTTCTGTCATAATTTTATTTTTTTGTTTGGTTTTTTTTTATTTTTAGGATTCCAAGGAGAAGTCTGATAGAATAGAGAAAGACATTGTCTTTTGTAGTAACAATTGCTTAGTTCTTTATTCAGCATCCATGCAAGCAAAACATTCAGAAAGCAAGGTAAATACTTACCACATACTTGTAATGACGATGCTTTAATATAGCATTTTAATAAAAATTATTTAGAAGATCAAGAGCAATGCAACTTGTTTAACATTAGATACATTTATTTGTTTTTCATTTTTTGCATCAGTCTGCAGTGAAGATTCACCTTTTTTCACATAGGCCCTGTATATATGTTTTACAGTGTTTTAAAATGTAAAATCCAAATTATATATGAATCTATTTTTAAGGGAAAATTTGGACTCTTTAGGATATAATTATTTTAACTATATTCTAGATTTTATATAAAGTGGATCTCTTCAAACATTACCTGTACCTCTTAAAGCGCCTCACTCATACCTTACAAGATTTTGCAATTGATGTTGGAATCTATCACACTAATGGGAAGATATAAGTGTTATACCAGGATTTCATTTAATAAAAATGGATTTAAAGTTATAAATAAATTAAAATACTTCAGCTTGTCACAGTGTTTAATAAGAACACTCAGATTTTCCTCTACCAATAAAATGGATGCTGCTGACACTAATAGTAGCTCATACCTTCATCAGATTGGATTGTACATGACAAAGAAAGAATATAATATGGATATATAACCATCTATTCAGATATCTTTTGCATTTTCTGAACCTGATCCAAGATAAGTTGAAATTCCAATTTACAATGATAGAATAGAGGTACAAGTTTATGCTTTGTACCAAGATTTTATGTGCACATTTGTACAGATACCTGTGTACATTTCAAAAACAGAGATTCTTTTGGTTAAGAAGGTGTTTGCAATTCTTTAAACGTTATTTTAATATTCCCAGCTCTGAATTTTAAAACCATCTAGTCTTGCAAAGTGATTATTAAACCAAGCACATTTCTGTTACTTAGTACATAACTGTGATCTGATTCCAGTAATGCCTGCACGTAACTTTTGCTGTGAATCTCTCTTCAACTGCTGTTCTGATTATTTCTCAGGAATCCGCCCCTCCTGAAATCCAATTTCCAATGAAAGAACCTCCAAAAGGTTTCCACCAATATAGTACGAACATCTCCACATTTGACGTTCACTGCCTCCCTCAACTGCAGGAAAAAAATTCTCCCCCCTCATCACCCCTTATTATTTTTCCTCCTGCCTTTGAAGCAGCCAAAGTGGAGCCCAAACCAGAAGAACTTAAGGTAACCGTGAAATTGAAGCCCCGCTTAAGAACTGTTCCCAATGGCCTTGATGACTGTCAACCAGTGAACAAGAAATGGAAAGGAATGAAATGGAAAAAATGGAACGTACAGATTGTGATTCCTAAAGGAACGTTCAAACCTTCCTGTGAGGAGGAGATAGATGAGCTTCTCAAGAAACTGGACACAACCCTTAAACCTGATCCTATCCTGAAAGACTACCGGAAATGCTGCTTCTGCCATGAAGAGGGTGATGGGCTAACGGATGGACCGGCCAGGCTTCTGAATCTGGATTTAGACCTCTGGGTTCATTTGAACTGTGCTCTTTGGTCTACTGAGGTCTATGAGACACAAGCTGGTGCCTTAATCAATGTTGAACTAGCTCTGCGAAGGGGCTTGCAGATGAAATGCGTGTTCTGCCACAAGATGGGTGCTACCAGCGGCTGCCACAGGTTAAGGTGCACCAATGTTTATCACTTCACCTGTGCCATTAAAGCACAATGCATGTTTTTCAAAGACAAAACTATGCTTTGCCCAATGCACAAACCGAAGAGCACTCATGAGCAAGAGCTCAGTTATTTTGCGGTCTTCAGGCGAGTCTATGTCCAGCGTGATGAAGTCCGACAGATCGCTAGCATCGTACAAAGGGGAGACCGTGAGCACACCTTCCGGGTGGGGAGCCTGATCTTCCACAGTATCGGTCAGCTGCTGCCCCACCAGATGGTTACCTTCCACTCTTCAAAAGTGCTCTACCCAGTGGGGTTTGAGGCCAGCCGGTTGTATTGGAGCATACGGTACACCAACCGCCGCTCCCGCTACCTGTGTTCCATTGAAGAGAAGGATGGCTTCCCCCTGTTTGTGATCAGGGTGATTGAGCAAGGACATGAGGATATGGTGCTGACTGGCCTGACTCCAGAAGGTAAACTAAAACCTGGGAACCCTAGTCGAGCTGGCCAAGGAGGTCTGATTGAATTGATGCACGTTAATGTCTAAAATACCCAGAGGAAAGTAGCTCGCCTGTTTATGAGCACTGCATTTATTTACTTCATGTGAAAAAAAAAACCAAATACTTTTTATTTTACAAAAAGAAAGCCAAAATGGAAAAAAACATAAATGATGACAAGGTGTAATATGTCATGAATCTGAGAATGTATTCACCTGTTTTTAAGAACAGTTAAGGACCAGGTGGTTTTTACCATGTCCTGATCTGTAAAACTCAAAATGGGTGTGTTTTCTTTTTCATATTACTGTACCTTCTTTATAGTTACGTGGCATTTTCTGGTTACTTTGGAAGCTGGTAGCAAAACCAGCCTGAAATCACATCACGGGGGTTTGATTATCTCGCTTTGGAATGTTCCCATTCCAACATTTAAACTCCCCTACATCCTCCTCAGGCTTTTAAGAAGACTCCTAGCCAGGAGAAGAGTACTAGCTTGAAAATTCTGATCTTGATTTAATACTAGCTTAGGAATGTATCTCGACCTGGAAAGCAAAATTATTGAAGAATTCATCCCTATAATATGTAAGGCTCTTTCCCATGATAAATACCTTTAGAAAATGTTAATGATCATTACTATCTTTCTATCTTTCCAATGTTTATTGTATTTTTCCCTATATAGATGTTTGGGATAAAATCCTTGAGCCCATTGCATCTATACGGAAGACCTCCAAAATGCTCCAGTTATTCCCTGCTTATCTCAAGGGCGAAGATCTTTTTGGCCTGACTGTCTCTGCAGTGGCTCGAATAGCTGAATCAGTGAGTGTTTGGGCAGCGGTGCCAGGCTGAATCTTCACCAATTCTGGCTTAGTAATAATCAGAAATTGGCATTTGTGGCAATTGCTTATAGAATACATTAGAGAAGAGTTCTAGTTTGAACAGCAGAACTTAACAAAATATGAAATTCATCCTTAGAACAAGTAAACAGAGACAGATACACACACATAGACACATACCTTCTGCCCTGTGCAAATAAACCAGAGCCGTTTCCCTGGTTGGTGGCATAATGGCAGTGGGAATGTAAGGGAGGAAAATAAATCCAGTTGTGTATTTCCAACTGCCTGGAATTGTTCGGCAGTGATGACATATACATTTAATAAGTAAACAATACTTACAGCACAGAACATGCTGGCCCTAAAATATTTATCATCTTGGGGTTTGGGGCTCTATGTTTTTCAAGAAAATAGAAGAAAAACAGGTAACAGTTCAATGCGCTCTTTGTACTTCTTTCCTTGTTGTGAAGAAGATGGTTTTGTTTCAAGTATCAGGAGTTGTTCCATTGGTTCTGCCGTTTCACTGACCCAATTTTCTTCGTGTTACAGCTTCCCGGGGTTGAGGCCTGTGAGCGTTACACCTTCCGTTATGGCCGAAACCCCCTCATGGAGCTGCCTCTCGCCATCAACCCCACTGGCTGCGCTCGTTCTGAGCCCAAAATGAGCAGCCACGTCAAGAGGTTTGTGTTAAGGTATTTTCTTTTAAATTCACATAGTGCAGCCCAGGGTTTATAGGCTACGTAGGATACCTCTGCTTCTGTGTGCTGCTTACAAACCCTGCTGTCTTTGGCTGTGTATGTGGCCCATCCAAGATGGGGCAGCTGCTTTAATGTCTCTGCTAGGTGGCTTTGAATGTCTGTCTACCTAGGAGCTATTTTATGATTTAAAACCTTATAACATTCAGAGAGATCTTCAGTTTTCCTTCTCTGTTTCTTCTATTCTGTGACCCTTTGGTACAGGCCTCATACCTTGAATAGCACCAGCACTTCAAAGTCATTTCAGAGCACAGTTACAGGAGAACTAAATGCACCTTACAGTAAACAGTTTGTCCATTCAAAGTCTTCTCAGTATCGGAAGATGAAGACCGAATGGAAGTCCAACGTCTATCTGGCACGGTCGCGTATTCAGGTCAGTTTGGACCAGGAAAGTATTAATTATATTTTTGTATTGAAAATACCAGATATATTTTAAAATAGCACTTCTTTAATAAACCTTTTTTATATTTATTATTTTTTTCATTTACATATTCATGCTAATTTATCCTTCATTGAAAGTCGTAAGATTGCACAACCATGTGGTAAGTTGCTTAGTGACCATCACAACTCATGCTCATAATTCCAGGTTCAGTTACTGTCATAAGTCAAGGACTACCTGTAACCATTGTAGCATTAGTTGAAAAGAATTGTAGGATTGTTAAACTATCTTAAGTGGCCGTATGAGATTTTGAGATCAATTTAAATCAGTAGAAGAGGCCAGTGATGTGCTCTGTTACCAAATCATTCCTGCCTTTTCAGGGCCTGGGTTTATATGCTGCTAGAGACATTGAAAAGCACACTATGGTCATTGAATATATCGGAACCATCATTCGCAATGAAGTAGCCAACAGGAAGGAGAAGCTTTATGAATCTCAGGTATTCCATAAGACAAGCATTTGTGTTTCAAGCTTTGTGGGACATGGAGGATCGAATAAGGACAAGAGTGTTCCATGGGTTTCTTTAAGGCCTTTGGTGCTAATTATGACTTTACAAGGTTTTAAATATAGCTTTTTCATACAGATTTTAATAATATTTGTATTTTCATTGATAACATCATCTTAAGTGACCTAAATAAGGGAAAGCCTAGCTGGCTGACTGACTGGTTATCTCTTTCTTCATCCGGCCATCCATCCATCCATCATCTATCAGTCTACATCTATGTCTATCTCACTATTTGTCTTATCTATCTTGAAGCACTGAGGTATATGTGTATGTGCGTGTATGTATTTAATTGTCCAGATAAATTTGTTGTGAACCAACCATAGCAACATTTGATTCTTTCATTTGTAGAGGCTAAATGTGACTATGATTAAGTTATGTTTGAGCCTTGGAGTTCCATTTTTGGTGTTTCCATTCTCAAAATCCTAACAAGAATGCTACTGTTTTGGAAAAAGACATTAAAGTTTCTAATGTTTTAATAAACCTTTGGATTGTAATTACAGTTCAGGCATGGCTACATATCATGTCTTTGAATATTGATACTTGTTACGCTAGCTTAGACCTTTTCTTTTCTCTCCTTTCTGATTTCCTCCCCACAGAATCGTGGAGTATACATGTTCCGCATTGATAACGATCATGTCATTGATGCCACATTGACTGGAGGTCCTGCAAGGTGGGTAGTTCTAGAACAGTGGTGTGGGCACACTGTTACCTTCCCACCAAAGTGGTGCCTATTAATTTACTCACATTTGCATGCCTTCGAATTGCTAGGTGGACAGGAATTGGGCAGGAAGGGAAGCTCACTCTTTTGCGTGGAACTTAGGTCTCGAACTCAGGCTGTCAGTTATCCAGCTGATAAGCTCAGCATCTTTAATGGCTGAGCCATCGTGCCCCAGTGTCAGATTAAAAGGGATCAAATTCAGCTTTGGAAGCTCACTGAATGCCTGTTGTGCCAGCCAATTATCTGCATAGGATAATGGTGGAAAAGATTGGAGGAAGGTATGCTGTATATGATGCCACCCTGGCCTCCTGACAAACAGGTCACGAGACATCCATGTTCTGTGTATTTTTGAAAAAAACCTCACTTGAAACTTTTTTCCACAGCAGCCTAAGTTGGTGTTGTCTTTATCACCTGTAGTACCTTCCTACTATATTGCAACCTTGTTGCCTTATTTCCTAACCTTAAATACACAGTTTTATCTTTTGTTGCTCAAAGTATCATATAGTAAAATTATTGCACAATATATAAAAATATCTACGCTTTTCTTCTCTCCCCTACCTCATAGGTACATTAACCATTCCTGTGCACCCAACTGTGTGGCTGAGGTGGTAACTTTTGAACGGGGACATAAGATCATAATTAGCTCTAACCGGAGAATCCAGAAAGGGGAAGAGGTACGGTTTATATAGCTTTTAGTACCATGCGTATATTCATACAATGAATATTCATTCTGTTGCTCCTTTTTGCAAAGAACAAAATACTTGG